ACGGTAAATAATTAATATTTAATAGAATTATATTTATTAAAATGTTCTCTGTTCGTGCATATTTATATTATTTTCAAATGAGGCATATTAGCTCGATGCTTGAATATATCCAAGTTCTCTCGAAAATCTCAAAGTTTATTACTTCTTTATTGCGATTCCAATTGGTTCTTAGCAATAGTCATAATTTTCTTCTCCTAAAAAAATTTACTTCGATAAATATCCATCGCTTTGATGCGTTTATGAATCGTTAATCGTGAGAATTAATTTGTTGAGCTTTTAAAAAATTTTTTTAAAGCAAATTTAAATTTTTTCTTCTAAAAAATCATTTTAATTTTTATTGAAATTCACGATAAAAACAAACGATACTTTAAATGACACTTTTGCAATCGCAAAGCATTATCCAGTTCCGCACGATCGCACTTCAAGTTGACGAGATAACTTCGAACAAGAATTAAGTCCGAAGTGGAAAAAGATGAAATCGATAAACGAAATCGATGCGAATACGCTGTTCGTTTCTTGACGTTTGTCTCATAGCACATTTAATTCTTAAAGTGACTCGCTTCTCGAACTCGCTTAGATGTGATTTATAGACGTCATAATATTGCAAAAATCGTGCTAAATTATCGTAGCTAGTTTATCGAATAAAAAAAACATATGTATACTTACATATATTTAAAATGTAGGGAAAAAAGAAATGATATTTGATGCTACATACGAAGACATGATACGGTGATATCATATGGTGCATAAGACAAAAGAAAGAATTGAATTAAACAAAGACAATCTCTTACCTTGCTTTAATCGAGTAATCGATGAAATTTTAACCGATTCAAGCTATCGGAATTGCTATCGCAATTGCTTATCGGAGCGAAATTGAAATATTGTGCAGAGACGCGACTAATTTATATATTCACAACTCACTAATGTTGCACCCATGCACTAATGTGCGCTCAACACATTAAATACGCTCTTTACGTATGAATTATTTGCGACTCGTGACAATACTGTAAAAACATTGTCACGAGTTGGTTGGGTACTTAGCTTCCCTTTCAGGACAATCCTTCCAGATATTAAGCCCTCCCAACAACGTCAAAATGTACCCGTTAAAAGGTTACCCGTTATTTTATATAATTTTTAATATAATATATAATTTTTACAATTTATTTTAACTGAGAGATTATATTTATATATAATTCAACATAAGTGAATAAGTATACAAGTTGAAATTAAAGATAAATATTTGTGAATTATAATATTCGAGAATAGAATTAGATTTACCGATTGTTTGCACAACAGATTTCGATTGAATAAATCACGATAAAAACAGTAATACTTTATATGTATATTGAAAAAAAATAAATGCTAAATTTAAAGTAAATTAATTAATGATTGCCGCGAGAAATATTGTCGCAATAAGGTTTCATGTCACATAAAATTAATTAATCATTGAATCAATGTGAACGAGATATTTAAACTATCTTGATGTAGGGTGGACGCGCTCCGAATTTGGTGCGCGAAGGAAATGGCAAGTTAGGCCAGTGCCGAATCAAAAAAAAATTCATTGAACATTCAAGTTTAACACATTAACAAAAGTATTTATTACTTCACATAGCACACGTTAAACAAAAAAATGAAATCGTTAACAAAGTTATTTCATTATTCTCTTCACAACAATGCGAGTATAATACACTGAGTATGCATACGTCGATCACGCTTGTTATTCATGATCATAATTTCGAGTCTGAAATTCGAAGGAATTTTCGATAACCTTTGTTCGTCGTACACATAGAATGTTTTTCGCACTTGTTTGTTCGTCGACTATGTTTGATTTGAAGGACACTGCTAATCTGTATGCGCAAAATATCCTCCTACACAAATATTAAATTTCCTTTAATTGTTCTTACATACGATTTAATAATCGTCATGCGAAAGAAAAACATGAGAGTAATTTCACTGACACGTGAACTTGCTTAAGTGTGAGACACTTATGTACGGTCACTGACATGTGAACCGAGAGCTGAGTGAGAGTGATCATTAGGAACTATACAGTTCGTATTTAAACAATGAGTTGCGCCCTGTTTGATAGCGCGAAGCCTCGTTTTATTGCCGGACTATTCGCGGCAATCTAATTGTATGCACAACACTCCGCGTAACTCAGTACTCGCACACAGTAATAGTCTTAGGTTTTGATTTATATCATTTAATCCGACTTGATTAATAATGATTTTCAATTGAAGAGAGCGCTTACTTATGTCGACTTTACTCTTGGAGAGACTTTCAACGACTGACTTCGCTTTTACTGCCGAAAAACCCAAAGGAATTTTGTTTTCGTGGCTTGCTACTTCTCACGTGTATTCTGCGTGATTGGTGAGAACAATAGCCATAAATACGCTTGCCGGAGGTGCTGCCTCTCTGGCTTCATGCGAGTTATTATTGATTCGATTATCGATGCTGTCACGAAATCGATTGAATCCGTAACAATCATTAATTATAATAAGCCAATTATATTTCTTGCTTGTCAATACTTGTCACAATCGCGTTTAAAAAGAAATTTGACAATATAACGGACGTCTCGTAACACAACTTTATGATTCGAGTGTCCCCGAGTGAACAATAACAAGGTCTAACGTATAAGACGGGCAACAAGAGCCAAATCGCGGATGACAATGCGTTATCCTAACGAAACTAAATAATTTTTCGTTAGAATTAAATACCGGTGCACAAGGCACCAATTTTTGCCTTGAAAAATTTGGTGCCTGTGCACCGGTATTTAATTCTAACGAAAAATTATTTAGTTTCGTTAGGATAACGCATTGTCATCCGCGATTTGGCTCTTGTTGCCCGTCTTATACGTTAAATTATATTTATATTACAGAGCCTTGTTAAAACTCTTATAAATAACAAGGTCGTTTCACATAAACAATGGGCGTTTTATACATTGTTACGATCGACACAGTTAATTCACCGAAATATTTTATGTACTATAAAATAAGTATACATATTATGTATATAACAAGGAATATATACTATGTTTCTCGAATAATGTTATTAATTAAATTTAATTAATTATTAATTAACTGAATATATCACGAGGCATTTCGCTATGTTAATCGTTTGATCCTACGATTCATTTCTTAATTACGTGATTTCAATGTGAATACCAAATTAAATTTTGATCAGTGAAAAATTTAAAGTGTCGGAATATAATTTGATTCTAATTATTGTTAGAGAAATAATTATTGTGTCCGCAAAGATCGCAACCAAATAATAATTTGTTGCTTCGATTTACACTTGAAATGATAAATGAATAATCACGAGAAATACACGATAAAATATTCGATAAAGACTTATCATCGTGATATAATTATGCATTATTGAGAGCCGAAAGTTAATTAATGGTTAATTATAATGATTAAGGAAATATTTTCTTATATACTTATTGTACTCGCATTTTGATCAGGAATTTCATAATATAGGCACTACTATATTTTCTTGCTCAAATCGCACGAATGACAATAAAACGACTGTATATCTGAACAATAATTTTGACTTGAAAAACAATAGTTAAGTAACGCGTAACAATTAATTTGTTATCCTGCTTCGAAATATTCAGCATTACATTGTATAAATTAAGATTAAAATAATTTTCAAATTAATTTGGAAAATATTAATTTTAGTTGAATGAAAAAATTATTTGTGTAAATTATTAATTTAATATTATCATATTTGACAAATTTTTATATTTTCCGAAAAGACGTTTCTTTCTTTAAGTTTAAGCTTTTTCATTTTATATAAATAATATATGGATTAAGGAGATAAATGATGCTCGTGTAGCGCGCGTTTTTGCAATATTCTAGTGGGAAATAAATGCCGCGTGTTGTGTCGGCGTAAATTTGACGCGTTTCCCTGCGCGATCGGAGAGCGACGCGACGTAGCGCCGTGCAAAATGCAAGGCGACTTCGTAAACCTTTCTCTTGCCGGGAAACTCGTAATAGGATAAGTTTTCTTAAGGTGTGCCTTACCTAAACGGGTTTCCGAAAGTTCGAGACAACCAAGGCTTTAACGATCGTCCGCACCTGAATTTTCATTGTAAAGCCGAGCGTGTGTGCGCGATGAGCGAAACTTTTGTCGCCCCTTTTCGATTCGGCGGATTCGAAGGCTTCGAAGACACATGAATTGCAGAAAAGGGATATACGTCAACCTTTTCTGCGCCCCATATTGTAGAAAAGTTGCTTAACTCTTATTCTTTTGAACGTGTTATCAAACTTATGAAAATATCCGTAACGTGGTCAAGATTGTACGACTATAGGGAAACTTTTCCCGTGTAATAATTTTTTTTCTTTTTTGAAGGAAAAAAAGATTTCCTTCTCCCAGGAGAATTAAAGTAAATTTATTAAATATTTTTTATATTAATATTAAATTAATTTTTTACGCAGCTGTCAAATCGTAACTTCCGCGCTTTCATAGTGACTTATTAATAACCGCCAGTGTTGGGTAGTATCTAGATACATTTTGTGTATCTGGGATATATTCGAATTGAAGTATCTATATCTGCATCTAGATACAAAACATGAATTGCTTTGTTCAGATACATTTGCAGATACATTTTTACATGTTTTTTTGAATAGCCCAATTCTTTAAATTTTTAAGAAATCAAGACTGCAAGTTATCAACTTATCGTCATCAACACCGGTTGAGCGATTCTTAAGCATTAGTCAAATTTTAGTACCATGGCGAAAGTAGTTTGAGTGACGAGATCTTTGAGGCATTTTTCACGTGTTAAGACTAACGAATAAATAAAAACATAAATAAAGATAAAAGAATTATTCAGTACATTTTGTGCATACTACAAAGTATCTGAGTACCTGTATCTATAAACATCTTAATCTGTGTATCTGTATCTGTATCTAGATACATTTTAAATGTATCTTATCCATCATCACTGTATGTTGTATATACTTTATTCGAAATATGTGACATCTCCCTTTTCGATTTTGCAGAAAAATCGCCCTGGTTATCATACTTACGAGAGCGGGCTTGGATCTCGATCCAACCGCTCTGAGAAAGTTAAGAGTCACGGTGCCGAAGATGGGCTTGATACCTTGGCTGGTGGAAGCGACGGTGGTAGCAGTGTTGACGAGATTCCTCTTGAATTTACCCTGGGTATGGGGTTTCCTCCTCGGAAGCATCATTGCGGCCGTCTCGCCGGCCGTTGTGGTACCTTGTCTGTTCAGATTACGTGCCAAGGGTTATGGAGTCGCCAAGGTAAGACCCGATCTTATTCAGCCCTTTGTTGAATATTCACTCACCGCGCAAGAGATTTCATCTCTCATTTAGAAAAACGGAGTTTGTCGTATAAGTCTAGAATTAATTTCGCTCGAACTTTTGTACACACCGGATAATGAAAGATTTATATTAGATCTAGGACTGTAAGCGGCCGATAAGTTGCAAGATTAATCCCTTCAGAGATTTTCTCTTAAGAGTAATTAAAATGCACATTATTAATTAATCGACAAATTAATGTTTACCGACGTGCAGTTGGTTCTTTTTTAGAATCTTACGCGCAAGTATGCACACCAGTTTCTCGTTCCTTTTTTTCTCTCTTTATATTTATACAATTATAATTGCATTCGCAATTTCACTCGTGCAATTTATAAATTATATAAAGTAAAGAGAGCAGAGCTTTGAAAACTTTTAACAAAGAAAATTAAATAGATTACACGATGCGGATGATGGTTATTATATACAAATGTTGCTAAAATTAATGTTTAATCGTAATTGCCTGAGTAATTAATTACATCGCGGCTCATATATTTTATATTAATTGAATGTCCCCGGTAAAAGCGAATAATAGCGTGGGTATGCGACCGCTATGTTTGACGCGCTCAACATTAGCGCATTAGAGGAGTTTCCGTGTTAATGAACGCAATGCGCGCGCGCGGGAGTAATTAAATTTCTTTCGTCTTGCTATGTGCAGGGGTACGATAACCGCGCGCGATAACGATTTCGCGAGAATGGAATATCATTCTCGCAAAATCGAATTTATGCATTGCGCGCGATATTTCGGATGCTTCGCCGGAATTCTTTGTGTTGTATAAATCGGATATATATATACACTACACACCATCGCGCGCGCACGCGATTTTCCTCCCAATTTAATTATATAACCGCCACCGAGGGAAGATTGTATCGGGGAAATTTGCAAAAATTCGCAATGCGGCAGCGTAAAGATCCGATATGATATATACAAAGAGTCCGAGGAGCTGTGGTGGAACAAAGACGAAACGGTAGGAGGAAACGTACCGGACTTAAATAATTCAGTTTAGGAAATGGAGTGGAAGTTGCTTGAAGAGTACAAAGACCATTGCAGTGAATGTGATATTCATGAGTCGAAAAAGATCCAGACAATACTTCTTCATTTGGCGGAATGTAATGCAACCGGGGCCGGAAGCAGGGAGGAGAGACGTCACGACGTAGATCCGCACGCCAGGCCCTTTTGATATTCGTCGGTCGCGAGATATATACTCGGGGATTCTTATCGCGTCGCGGTGGAAAATTTTACAACGAGACGTTGACCGATCGTCGGCCCTCGTGTAAGAGCCTTATACAAACATCTACAAGAGTATATATTTCGTAAGTACTCTCGCGAACGTAAGCTCATGACGAGCGGAAGGAACGTTGATCTCGTGTGCAGCGATCTATTGAACCTTCTCTTGCTCTCTCTCTTTCTTTTTGTAGTCCGAGAATCACGATAGTCGGCAGACTTAAATCCCGAACGAGCTATCGTGACACCGATAACGCTGCCCTGACGCCATAAGTATCGTGCTTGAGTATCATCGACTACTCTCAATAGCACCTCATCTGGTTCTCTTTTTTCCTCTCTTTTTCTTCGAACCAGATCTTTTTTATTCCTTAGAAGATAAATTCGCTAAATATTTTTATAGAAAATTGTCGAGCGATTATTTTCGATGACAATCTAGCTTACATCGTGTAAAGTTTTGTGAATTGTTATGTTTAATTAACAAATTATTTTTGAACTTTTTAATTGAAACAAGAATATTGAGAATATATAAACATTGATTCTCTCTTTTTTCTCTATTTATCATTCTGCATAAAAATCACACATATGCATTAAACCATTTTAAGCAGAATACAAAAAAATGTGTTAATAAAATGATACGACATTATTGAATGCATCTCTAAAACTAAATATTATTACAAACAAATGAGAGAAAATGGTATTCATTCTAACAAATGTACCAAGTTTGAAAGGACTGGATTTTTCTTTCCTTTTTACAGCTCTTCTCTCTCGCTAGTCTCGTTCTATCTCTCGCCTTAAAAGATTCGATTTCGAAAAAGAACCTTTTATCTATAGATTCGTGTAATCTTTTAAGTCTCTTTGAAGTTGCCTAAAATCTGTTCGTTTCACAAGTACGCCGATAAAAAGTTCTCATTAACAAACTACATGTAAATCAAATCCTGTATTGAAGAATGATTTTCCCTTCTTGTTTTTTTTCTTAACAAGAAGTTTTGTACAGGATATTTCCACGATATCTCTATGCATGTTATTTAAAAATTTAAAACTACATAATGTCGCAATACAGAGCTAAACACTAAACTCTGAATATACATCTGCGTATATTCCCAGTTACCATGACGATAAATATTTGAAATATACATATATTTATGTATGTACATCTCTCTTTACCATTGTACAAACGATTCGATCTGTTATCAAACGATATATTTTATTATTACTCGGCACACAAATATCTATATGTTCAGTCTTTTATAAATATGATTTCATAAATATGATTATTATATATTGATGCAAAATATGATATACATATATAATATATGTCGATATATTTACATGTTATGTAATGATATGGTTGACATGTACTGACATGCGTCACATTAGTACAGAAAATAAAATTTTAACTTGAAAAATTGAAGAAAATCTTTTAACGAGTTAAAAAAAGTCAGAGGCGAATGGTAGTGTGCATCAGTTTATGCAAGGAAAATTAATTCTTCGTTAAAACTGATTAGTTGGCGCACAGGGCATACATTTTTCTTGGCCCAAGTAATGAAGTTAAATCTCAATTCAAGATTTTTATTTTAAAAACTCTCTGACTCTCTGAAGAAATGTAAGCAAAAAATGTAAAATTAATTTTCGTTGAAACTGACGCACTGCTATCCACTATCTGGTTCTCTCCACTTCGTTGAAATTTAAATTTGTGTTTTACATTGAGAGAACTACCTTACTAAAATTCTTAGTTGTGAAATCTCGATTCTCGTGGAACTGACGAGTTCGGCAATTGTATTTCCAGGGTATTCCGACGTTGATTATTGCGGTTTCCGGGATCGATGATGCGGCATCAGTCGCGGTTTTCGGTATTGTGAAGAGCATCATGTTTTCCCACGACGCACTATGGTACCAGATCCTTCAGGGGCCCATCGCTATTATCGGCGGTCTGGGATTCGGTATCATGTGGGGTTGGCTGGCCAAATACGTGCCAGAAAAAGGGGACGTAAGTATACCTTCCCGTGTGTTCCGATACTAAACCGCGCGTTAGAAATTACGATGGTGAAACTGCGTTTTCGCATTCGATCGAACGTGCAAGTTGTATCGGAAGATGTATGAATAAATTTACAAGGGAGAGCTATTACTTCTCTCCTATATATATATCTCTTTCTCTCTCGTGCTCGTATAGCAGTTCGCACGATGTGCGCAGATGTGTTTTGAACTTCCTCTTTAAGGGAGTCGCAACCTTATAGCTTCCATTCATAAGTTATGTCAGCCCGGTGTTCGGAAAAACGTGGTTTCGAGAAGAAGCGATATAAACTATGAAATGTATGTAACGCAGCAACTGTATATATCGATATTTTTCTAGTTTTTTCATCTTTGGATTCTTGAAATATCCATGGAAAAGATATGGAACAATGCCGCTCGAATAATAATATCGCGCCTCTCTCTCTCTCTCTCTCAATGTTTTTTTAAACAAGGGAAAAATGAATATGGCTTTTCATTATTTTCACGTAAATATAATTTGCATAAAATTAGCATTAACGTTTCCTGTAATTTGCTTCATTACATGGGGATAATGTAACTCTATAATAGCGACTATTCCAGATCGAGATGCAAGAATAAAGGACACGGGCGAAAATAGGGTCAATCGACGGGGTGTCGTTCACCCCACATGCGAGGGGATGAATCTCCCCGCAGTAGATTCCGCTGCATACCGCGAAAGCACTCGCGAGTCTAAAGCACATGCGCAAATCCGAATAAATCTGCTATCGCCGGCGAAATCCACTTACAGCGACTACCGTTTTGCCAGTGAAAATCCTGTAAACACTTTATGAATTGCGTGCAATCAGATTGCCGCATCCGCAAACCGCCTAGTATCGCAACTCGCATTCATCATCGCGGAAACATTCATATTTTCTCACTTTCGCGTAAGATCTCCGATGAATTTAAGCGCACCTGGAAATGACTGGTCATTAGTCGTCAAAAGATCCTGAGGAGCTTTATGACGATAAAGTAGGACATCCTTTAGCGGTTGTGTGTCTTTTCCCTGTTCACGTATGGCATTTGCTTTTCTTACATACCGAAGTTATTTGAGACTTTCATCTTTATCGAGGAATGCGCTTTTATATATTTTATGTAGGAATCGATAGAGAGTTTTTATAGTTAACGTAGGTGTCTTGTAAAAATAGATCCGCCCTCGATAAGTTTTTAAGTAAAGGATATTTAAAATAGAACGCATTTCCGATTATTTCCTCATTTAAAAAAATAGCATGATTCAAATAACAATGTATTTTCCGAAAGTGATGGGTTTGATGTAAACAATTGCTTTTTAACAATATTTATATTTATTTAAACAAGATATCGTTGTAAAATTTTGCGGCAAATTTCCGCAGCGTTTTTTTTTCATCGACCGCAAAAAATTGAAATTTAATTCAATTTGGCCGAAGATCTGTGGAAATCATCGATTTAGATGAATGAAATGTTTGAGCGCAAATGGTTTCGACAAAGGAGAGACGCCAAGTACTTGGTTACCGCATCGGCACCTCATCCTATCTCAAGTATCATTCACGTAAGGATTAACGCCGTGGCACTGCGGCGATAGCTGCAGTATTCTTAGCTTGCCTGCAACCTGATTTAACGCTTTCGGATAAACTTAAACTTGCAGTGTAAAGTCAAGAAGAGAATGTGTTTAAAATTGTTACTTTGTTCATAAATCCTATTTATACCCTATTATCACTCTTTCTCTCGCTAAGTTTATATTACTTTGCAGATTATATACTTTCTTCTTGGTATTTATAGCGCACAGGATTATCCCGCTTGAAATATATAAAATACATACAAAATACGTCCTTATAATTTATATATATATCTTATTTTTATAGGCCTGATTTTCGCGAAAGGATGCGTTGTATATTGCAAGAGCGCGAAGAGGAAAAACATGATTTTTGTAAAATTCATCAAATGAGTATTTACTATTCTTTATAATAATTATACTTATCATATTGTTTAATAAAATAATTTTTCATAAAAATTGCGATAAAAATTCGCTCTACTATTTATTTATTCCTTTTAAACGTTTAAACAATTTTTGTAGTGTATCGAAATTAATATCGTTCTTAATAATCGTTATTTGAATAATGAAAATGCGCTATTATACAGGCGAGCTTAAACTCCTCCAGATATTGCTCAAGTGCATCGTTTACCCTCAAGCGTGCGTGTGTATCGAGGGAGATGAGAGAGAAAGAGAGAGAGAGAGAGTGTGAGGCGCTCATATTTGGAAACTTATCTTTCATATAATGAGATCGATAAATCACTTGGTAATCATGATATAGCGCATCTGTTGTATCTTAACGCTTCGTTTATGTGCTAATGTTGCAGCCGTTCTTGGTGCCTCTTAGAGTGCTGATGTTACTCGGAGGTGGCTTGTTGGCGGTTTTCGGCAGCGAGGCAATCGAGCTTGGCGGTGCCGGGCCACTTGCGGTCGTGGCTGCAGCTTTCGTCAGCTGCTACTTTTGGCAACAAGAAGGCTGGGAAGTGGACGACGTAAGTACAGATTTATAACTTGCCACTTATGAAAAGTTTATAAGTTTCCTATCTTATATTTCTCTGATGTTTCAGTAAATCGCTGATAAAAGATTCATACGTCCTTTGCTCAAACTTTCTTCTTATTCGCACGTCGGATATTAGATAGAGAATTTGTGAATTCCTCGTGACTTATATATTACAAGAGTAAACGCATAAATCTACTTAACATGCATTATATATTAAAAGTTTCTCTGAATTATTTTCGCAGATTCAAGTATGAAAGAGGTAAGCGTCAGATAGATGCAACAAAATTATTTTTAAATTCCTCTATAAATATTTTGAATCAGTTATTAAAAAAAAAAAAAAAAAAAAAAAACCACGTGTATTTGATATGCTGAAGATGGTTGTGAAAAAAAGGAAACCGACACGTTCGAAATAAATATAGCAGAATTGAAAAATAATTTGGTTACACCTGATATCTGTCTGACTCTTCTTGACCTTTTCCACTAGCCCTGCATTTATATTTATATATATATGAAAGCTTTTTCAATTTATTATTTTATTTTCGTAAACATCGATAGGATTCAAAATAACACGGCTAAATTGGATTGATCCAAGTGCAATATTGCGCGAGATATATTTATCAATTTTCCTCCCCAAATGTGTGACTACAAAAAAAAAATAAAAAATATTAAATATTTAATTTATCGGCTAAAGGAAGTGATACCAATGACGGAAGCCGCCGGCTTCACTCTCCCAATAATCTCGTGAAATATTCAGACCGACGTATCGTCGCTATTCGAACGGGGGTGCGGATTGGGAGTCAACCGGCTCGTTCCTATTTCCGCATCTCGCGTCGCATTCCCGCTGTCGACGACGACGCGACGTTCTTTCCGCACACGCGTTTTGTGACGTGACTGTAACAGCCAGCACGTCTGTCGATATTACACCCCCGTGTGCGCGATATGCGGCTTCGTACACTATATGTCGCGAAGCCTGTCTGTCGGCATAATATATCCCGGTCGGATTAATTACCACGCAACAATCGCACGATGATGCGGCGGCGACGGCAATGCCTTTTGTCTTAAATAATGATGAATGATGTAATTTATTCCGAGTTTAACCGCGAGTTTCCCGCGTATGTGTGTGTGTGTGTGCGATATTGCACGTGATTAAATCTCATCGGATATAATATTGCGAAGTTAAACGAAACTAAACGTGCATATATAATTGGATTAGGATGCAAATATAATTTTACACACGCATAGACACACGTATGTGTGTAAGATTAGATTCGGCGATATGTGTATAATTTAATACGATTAAATACAATTGTAAATTTCTCCAAAATATTTAATATACATTTCCTAAAGTGCTTAATATTATTTATTTGAGATTATCTCAAGAGAAAGGAGCGTATATTAAAGCGTATGTTATCATTTTCTTGTATCTGCGAGGATTGCGCGTGCTATTATCCGGAAATTGCCGTGGAAATAAATTAAATAAATCAATATCGACGAGATATTTCCTACGCACCGCGAGCGCGTGTAAACAATAGTAGTAAATACGAGCCTGCACACATCGCGTAAACTCTGGATATTCTGCATTTCCATGCAACGCTGGAAGATTTCCATATCCCGATATCGAACGCATGGACAATGCGATGCGATATCATCGCCGAATACCGAATCGGTTATTCTTTAAAGGAAATACAGTGGAAAATCATTATTCTGGGGAAAAATCATTATTCATCGCGTTTTTTTTTTATCTTTCGCGTTGTGTATAAGTCTAGATAGATTTCTACTATTATATCAGTCTTCTTGTAATCCTAATTATGTGAAAAAATTGGTTTCCCAATACTTAACGCATCTACCATAAAATCTATTGTATATATTTTTTTTCGTTGCAGAATCCAGTGGCCACATCTTTCGAGATCTTCTGGATGATATTCGAGCCGATCCTATTCGGCGTTACTGGGGCACAGATCAAGATCAGTGAACTGGAAGGGAAGACCGTCTATCTCGGACTAGGCTGTTTGCTCTCCGGTATCGTCATTCGGATCGGAGCAACGGTGTTGTGCGGAATCGGTTCCAAGCTCAATCTCAAGGAAAAAGTGTTTATCGCCCTGTCGTGGATGGCCAAGGCGACCGTGCAGGCGGCCCTGGGTCCCGTCACCCTCGATGAGGTCGACAGGGATAACCCGCACGAGGTCGAATACGCCGAGATGGTACTGATGCTGTGCGTGCTCTCGGTACTCTTGACCGCACCGGCGGGTGCCATCATCATCTCGCTCTCGGGGCCGAAGCTTCTGACAAAGACTTCCGCGCCGGTTGCTCTGCCGGAAGCTTGGAAATCGCGCAGGCCATCGATCCGCGATATTTCGATCATCAACGAGGACCCGGACCTCGAGGAGACGGCAAACGAGAGGAAACCCTGACGATCTCGCGTTTCAGTCGCATTTCAAGTTTACCTACTGAGAGTCCGTCTTTGTTTCTCTCGGCATTCCCAAAAGTGCCTGAAAGTGCCTTTACTTTGGTTGTTCAAGGTATTACTTAACGATCGTAAGTTATATTTATATATACGATCATTGGCGAGAAAATGATTAATTATAATGATATCGCAGTGATGTAAAGTTGGAATTACCTTGAGTTATTTACATAAATGATTTTTAATGGATTTTTAATTTTATTCATTTTGACTAGAGCATCGATATATTATTGCTAAATCAATGATTACTCTAGTGTAAAGTGCAATCATTCTTTGTAGAAAATGAGAAAACAATCGTGGAAAATCTTGTATATTTATATATCAAGCTACAAGGGAAGGACTTATTTAAAGATTTTATGTGGTTCTCAGGATTTTTCAGAATTCGCATATAAACCCATAAACTTCATTTTAGAAACTATTATAAATATTAGAAATGTATATATATTTGTAATAATGTTTATATATTATTTTTTTTCTTGTCCACTATAATTTACGCACGAAATATATATGCAAGACGTTACAAACGTTTTCTATGTGTGTACATATTTTTATATGTATATACATATGTTATTTCAAGGATTTGTATTGTGATTGCTATCGATTGATACCGATTTTGCTATGCATTTATACAAAAAGAGAAGAGACTGTGTTGCGAGATGTGTTATCTCCACATGGTACTGGCAATTTTAACACCAATAATAACAAGTAATATAACACGTAATAATAATGGTAATTTTATGGATTCACTCGTTATTCAACGCGAATTTTTATAAAACGAGCTATCGTTTGTTCCTGCGAAAGAAAATCATTCGTTAAAGATTGTGACGCGTAAAGATATTTTTGTAACAAGTTACAACAGCGTATGCAAAAATACGCAATCAATTATGCGTTGGCATGTATTACTCGTTAGTAATAAGCGTATATTGATTTTGAAAGCTGGATGAGTGATTAATGACTAAGTGGCGGTCGCGTTATAATAGACTTTAAGCGATTTTAAGCGAAGTTTACGTTTATAGCAGAGAGAAATTAATTATACGGAATCCGTCATAAAATCTTGTTATAAAATTAGAGCCGTAATAGCTGTTTTAGTTTTTTTCTTCAAGAACTTTTTATTGATAGAAGAAAGGTTGGATAAGATGGGTTTAAGTTTCGAAGTAGCATAAAAATTTGCTCTCGCATTACTGAGGCGGTTTTGGTATTAAAGTGGAAGTATAAAAACCGAATGTATCCTAGCGCAAACAGATTGTTTTGCAAAAACCTATACTCTTATTGTTAAACTCTATTTGAATATATATTAAAAATAAAAGCAATTTTCTTTGCTATCTGTGAAGTTTCTGACATCCGGCAAGCGAAAGGTCTCGGATTCGATGCCCGATTCAGCGATTTTCGGATCTATATTTTTCTCTTGCATTCATTTATTTATTTTCCGTAGGGGGGTTAAAGGGGGTATTGAAATTAAATCTCAAATATGAGATTATTTCATATTTTAAAATCTTGGCCGTGTCCAAGTAAAATTTGGTGCCTTGTGCACCGGTATTTAATTCTAACGGAAAATTATTAGTTTCGTTAGGATAACGCATTGTCATCGCGATTTGGCTCTTGTTGCCCGTCTTATACGTTAAATTTATATTTCTGACATTTATTTTATTCCTACGGATTACTACCGATAAAGAAAATAATTAATCGTCGTAATATAATATATGCGAGAATAAAAGTACACTGATAAATATTTTCATATTTACACTTTGTAAAACATCCTAAAATTTTCTCTAAAAGTTTCATATGCTGCTTTAATTATTTCAAGACATTGTTATTATTTAATTTGCTTATCGTCGATCATATTTTTACTTGTGCAAAGAAGTATATTAGTTTAAAAAAAGTAGTTTATTCTATAAAAAACTTATAAAATCAATAAGTCATTTTTCGTCACTCATACTAATTTCATCTAATCATTTAATATTTACGCGATGATACTCTTTATATATATACATATACATAACTTTATCGGATATATTGTAAAGTTACGCTTTTTATCTAACAGATTTCTAAGAGCCAAGATAATTATGAGTAAGTATATGAATATACACATCATATGTGGTAATACAAAAATTTTATACATTGATCGTATGCTCTATTCATAATATTATTTGCATGCCGTTCAATCAAACGCCATTATCCTTGCATTATCAGTTATTAATTCTTGCATACTATGAAGATAATAAAATTATCCTAAATAGCAAATTAATTGCTCTTGTTTGGAACATAATTTATTCATAATAAGCTCTTAATGTGAACTTTCTCTCTCTCTCTCTCTCTCTCTCTCTCTCTTTCTCTCTTGTTTATAAATTATAAATTTATTAGTTTATTAAAATGCATTAATCGTTGAGTATATCATATATAATAAAATTTGATAATAGTTATTTATTGGTACATGTTTTATCTGATAAGAGAAGCCAGAAGGTAGTTCAGTTAAAGCAGATATATCGAATATATGCAAAAATATGGCACATAAAAGTTAAGCATAAAAAGTATGTGTACTAAACACTTTGAATTATTATCTTACGACGTTGAACTGATGCCAAATGTAGTCATTAATGTACTGCTGCTTGCACTTTTCTTGATTCTGTAAGGATCTTGTAAAGTCGCGGTTACATTGCACGTTGGGCTCGGTTTCAAGTTGTCATCCAATCCCACTCGTCTGCGAAGGGCCCGATAAACTCGACTTTTCAAGACAAAGAGAATAAAGATCAATAAGCCCTGAAGGCAGTTGAAGACATCACTAACATAGAATAATGTGTAATGCCAGTAAAAGTCATTAAAATATTTTTTCATGAAATACGACGCCACCTCGCAGATCCAGGATATTCCCATAACGATGAACAATTTGATATTCATGACAAATCTGTCGAGAAAGAAATATTATAAAAAACCATGCGTGAAAAAATATTTAAATTACAGTGATGATGAAAAATTAATGACTTATAAAGAAGATTAATTCGATAAAATTTTAGTCAAATTTAAAATTTTCTCGTATTTGTTATAAAATCTGTATAACTTTAGCACCAAGGTTTTCTAATTCATGGAATTGTAATTAATAATTCTATAAAGTATTCATGTGTAGTTAAAATCGAACTCTATTTGTTATTTAAAAAATAAATCGATAGTAATTCGACTAACCAACTGGTCATCACTGAACTCGACGATATAAACTGAACGCATTTTAAAATACACGTGATTTTTATTACCATGTTCCTAGTTTTAAATAGTGAGTAATTCTTGTGACTTTTTTCGAAAGTTGTGCTAAGGCAATTTCGAGGAAGATGCCACTCTCTCACTTCTCGAAGACGATAAAACTAATTTCAAAACTACACATTTAAAAATTATGTACGTTAACCGCGTGAATTTATTGCTAAAGTATCATTTTCTATTTATAATTATGATCTGAAATGGAGATCGTTGAGTTTTCCCTCTCTCGAGAAAGTTAATGAAAAAATAAAATAACTCACCTACTTCTGTCGGAATGAAATCGCTTGCTTCTGGGATCCATAGGATCTCTAGTTACTCTTTTTATCTCTGCTTTCACCTTATTGCAATGTATGGATGTGAGAACGAAGAACACCACGTTGGATATCAGTTGAATCGTTATGGGCCCGATAAAGAAAGTTACTTCGCTCAACGAATCTAGTTTTTCTGCAATATATTTAATTAAAAAATATAAAAGACATATATTTTTTGCGAAGAAAACTGAATGACGTAACGTAAATATAAAAATATAATTTCTCTTTTATTTTATATATACACACACGTACACTAAAATAATAAACAATTGATTAAAAAGTACTTATTAAAAAGTACAGTTGCTAGTAACGCGCGAGTTCAACATCTTCATCTTCGTTTTAAATCGGAAACGACCACTTGTCGCGAATTTCTCTTGAGCATTATCGAGCGCAATTATTTTAGCGATATTAAGCGATACTTATTACGCAAGTAGTTAGTTTCTTTGCACTTTATATATTGAAGCGCAATGATGCTTGAATTTGCTTCAGTTCAATAAATACAGTTACTCAAGAAACTTTTAATTGCGATACTACCATATAGAAACTACAAAAAAAATTTTGTTTACCTCCTTTTTAATACGATCAACTTTGAACAAATTTTTTTACTACAACTCGTACTGCGTATTTTCGCAAATCTATTTCTAAAGTACAATATTATAATAACACGAAAGTGAGCGAAAACTTTAACGTTGAGTAAAATCTCGTTACAAGGTCAATAATCTTTCCACGAACGTCATAATTAGCGTTGGCAAATTTACGTTACATCATCTCAAACAGCAGTAATCGGTCCCAGGAGATGACTCACGTGTAAACCAACAGCTCGTATTGCCAATATCTGGTTGCAAATAATCTGGCAGGATATTCGTGTAGTCAGCAATGATCGCCAGGATTGACACTAACAGGGAGAAGCCCCACGCATACAAGCAATATAATAGGAACCTTTTTCTATGTCCACGCGCCTTTGTAATCGTACTGCCACGTAAACCTCTATAAAAATAAGTATCATGATTATTTCATTATTGAGGCCTGAAATGTGATACGCATTAAAATGTGTGTTGCAACATTTTAAGTTAAAATGTATCGAAGATCGCGTTAATCTTTAAAAAGAATGTTTTAATTAATTCTGTACATCTTTCTTGAGTTGACACTCTTTTAATATTAATCAAACAATGGAAGAAAATTGAAGCCAAAGGCAGAACACGTGCGTGACACATGTCACGTCATAAAAATTGAATCATCTGGAACAATTTGCTCAATAAGATCGTTCGTAATTTATCAATTAGAAATCCAATTGTAAAATTTCACGAATATCGCGTACTTAAATGTCATGGAATTTGCTTCGTTCGATTTTTTTTGCGCCTCCATCACGTTTCTTATTAATAGTTTTTCCTTTTAACTCTTATTTGACTTATGTAGAGCCTTGTTTGCTTTATCACCATTTGTTTTCCGATGCGGAACGAATGAACAATACGAATGTGTGGGAATGAAACTCGTGGAATTCACGATCGAGATTTCGTGCGGCATTAAGATATGTACGTCGTCGTCAAGATGTGGTTATTTTCTTCTTTCTATATTTACAAATCTTCCGACTAGAATAGCATCTTGAACACATAAACATTCGTAACCGCCGAGACCAGAGGCAAGCCTCTAATTCGAAGTAACCATCGAGTTATTTTTTTACATATGGTACGAGATGTTTTCAATAATAAAATATTAAAAATTATTTCTTTATATGCTATTAAAAATTATATTTTTTAGAAATTGTAACAATAATTTACAAAATAAGTACGAATTAAAATGTACTGTATGGAACTGAATATTTTTTGCGTGTTATTCGTATAACGTTCGCTATATAAAACACGTTGAGTCATTTCGATGTTTAATATTTGGTGTTGTATATTTTTCTACTACTGGTATAACATACAAGGTATAGGATACAAGAAATTCAGGCAAAGAGTTTATATAGACATATCCGGAATAATAGTTAATGAAAAAAGCAATAGTGATGAGACAATTCTAGAAGGTCAATGGAGCTCGGATCAATGAGATAACATAATAATGTCCATGATCAGAGAGAACTATCTGTGATCGTTGTCATAAAATCATTAAAAAAGACTTATCATTTATTTAGTATTAGTTATCAAAGAAAAATGATTATTGGTTCTCGGAAAATAATCGCGCGCTGCCCTATTTACTCAACTTCCTAGAGTACCCCGTTTGATCTAATCGTATGATCGCGAATGACTTACCCGAAGGTCCACCATATGTCGAAGCACATGACGTTGAGCCAGGAAAATGATGATAGAAAAGAAAAAGCATGGTGTAAGCTGGAAAAATATTTTCTTATTTCCTTAACGCCGTTTGTATATTATACTTTTTTCTAGCACACGTGACAGAGTATCACACGTTAACACACCAACCTAAAGCTTTACACGTTGCAATAGCTCTTAGCTCCTCCGTTTCTACTACGCTAGCAGGCATAATCCAGGGTATGATAGCTAAACAGGTAAAGGCCAGGAAGAGACTGCTTACGTGGCACATGAGTGTTTTACCGTGAAGATTTTGCAGACTCGGAAGACACGCGTATACCAATAGAGTCATCAGCAGAAAAGCGCAGCTGGTGATCTCCAGAATGGTGTTCACTTGGTACCTATAAAATCAAGTGAAAAATATACGTATGTGTTTCACAACAATTTACACATATTTTACAGTTTTCTCGCGTGACATGCTTATTCAATGCTCAGAAGACTGTGCATCATTACATTCGTCAAGTTGACGAATGCTTCTCTTTAATCAAGTATACCATAAAACATTTACAGCTTTCAAATACGACTCAGCATTGTCTATTGTGCAGCATGCTATGTTTGTTTGAACTTTGTGAAGTTTAAATAAATCAGTCAGTCGAGTTTCCCTAAATTTGATAGAATTTATGACGAGAGAGAGAGAGAGAGAGAGAGAGAGAGAGAGAGAGAGAGAAAGCTAAGAACCTCAATACGTAGTTACGAAATACTCTAACGTCAATAGAAATTTAATGCAATGAATTCAATTAGAATTAGAATTAGAATTATCATTTAGAATTAGAATTTGTACAAATGTATTCTCTTTTAAAACCAACAATTTCTCAACATGTTTTAACAATGTTAAAATATATAATAATTTTTAGGATGTCAAATGCATGTAAATTATATTTTTTCTGTATCGTAATGTCTATCAAAAAGATATAATTATAAAAAATAAATGAATAGACTAATATATATATAATTATTAAATAAATTTAAAAAAATATATAATTATTATAAAGTTATCAAATAATGCGATTTAAAAAAAATAAAAATTGTACCTTGTTGGAAGGTACTGTGATGATTCTGCATCTTCGAAACATATAAACAAATGAAAACTATTATCAAATTCCGATTTATTGTAAAAAATGTCCATGCAATATTCGTTTTGATTGTAGCTCTGATAATCTTCGTCAAGAACATATCCTTCTGACGTCAACGACCATTCTTCTTCTCTTGAATCCATAGGATACATTCCATGTTTACATGGCTTCCCAATTAAGACCCCGTAATCTAATCAATTAGAATGAAACCTATATCAATAACTTCATATACATTCATTATATACTTTCTATATATAATATATTTCTATATAACATATAAAATTATAAATAAAAAATGATTTTTTCTTCGAAGAAATAATAAGTTAATTTAATTTAATTTAGATTTTATTAGAACAACTTTTGCTAATGTTGAAGGTAGACAATTCCGTTAGATTCACGGCGTTTGCAAAAGCCTGGTAAAACTCAATCGGTTCTTCGGGCGTAGCAAGTTTATTGCATCCCTGAGCATAAAAAAATTCATTTTCAGCGCAACACTTTCTAATGCAGGAATTTTTGACGCAGAATTTCGAATCTCTGCAAACGCGAGCTGCCAATCTTCGATTAACCGTAAAATTTGGCAACATTTCGAGGCAAGCATTATCTTTGGTGAGAAAGAATTCCTCTTTGATGATAAAATTATTTTGAAATACTGAAACCATCACCTGTCAAATTATTTGCAGTTTAGTATAATTTTAATTCGACATATATTTAAATTAATTTAATATGGCATTAAAGTATTATTGATAAATTCATATCGATAAAAAGAGAACGCAAATAATTAATTTACAATTTTGTTTTATAATAAAGATTTAATTTAAAATTTACTTCTCAAGATCGAAAATCAAATTTTCTAATTGAACACATAATTTGTTTACTTAAAAAAATAGAAAACTTAAGAAACTATTTTAAAAGTCTCTTATCAGCTTCACTTACCGAGTAAGTATTATTTCGCAAAAAGATATCGTTTTCGTCAATCTCGTAATCGATGATTGGACCTTCGCACGTGGGTGAACTTTTATTAGTTATCACCACAAAATCTATATCAGCCGATCTATTTGATAAAAATGTTATAAGACTCTCTGATTTGTTTAGTCGAGGCACGCAAGTTTTCGTGCGACTGTCATATATTGTACTATGAGAGCAACATTTTCTGACATATGCGAGTTGTGAAAAGGATTCGTTAATCGTATTCGCTTGTCGATCTTTGTTTGATTGACAATAAACGATTATTACAGTACTTTCTTCAGTTTTTTGATCGTAAAGTATCTCGAGACAAGCTGGAACCTACAAACAATTTATCAAATTTATAGAGAAAAAAAATTCATATAATTAAGTAATTCAGAGTACACAATATTGCACAATTTAATTACGTGACACGGCAATAATAATTCTCAGAAAAATATTATCAAAAGAACTCTTAACTACACGTGTAATTATATTTTAAATTGTATATGTAAATAGTATTAAAAATATTTGATCATTATTCTATCAATATGTTCTCGTTATTTTATTTTTGAATTTAGTATTTCGATCTTGTCACACGGTCTTTATATTGATATACTATAGATAAACCTATCTAAAGGTAAATAATACTTGAGCAAATTAAAGGAGTGGCGAATTAAAGGTTGATCTAAGGGAGTGGTTGATATTTCAATTCAAAGAGTGAGGCGTTTTTCGAAATAAAGAATTAGCTTACCTCATATCATAATTAAAATGGAATTTACATTATTTAGTTTTAATAAGTACTTATGCCTTATTATAAGTATATTTTATCATGCGCGTAATATAATGAGTTTTATGTAATTAAAAAAATCATTATATCATTTTATAATGAATTTCTCTTCCTGAATTAAAAGCGCTTGGATTCTCGACAAGAGATTAGAATATCAAAGACTTGCTAAACAAATTGATTCAATCAATCGTTCATGATTTACCTCTAAGAACTTGGAATTGAAATCGTCGAGCAATGTTGTCATGATGTCTTCGGGTTCATTACACTGCGGAAGTCCTTGGAACTCCGCGGTAACGTTTCGATGGAGAACATAAAGTTCCATCATGCTGCTCGGTGCCGAAACACACTCCACTGTAGAATGTCCTGAGAAGATCTTTTCTGACGGACAACATTTTGCCAGATGCAATTCCGATGAAACTTTTGTCGAGGATAATATCAGAAGACCGAGCAGAACGAACTTTATCGTGAACATGATGTGCTACATAGAAAAGCAATTATTTCTTTACTGTATGCAAACAACCCTTTTTAATTATTATCCTCCCTTTAGACATCGCGTTACACGCAAATTACTACTTTCTGGTTGTCATTTCCTTTCTGTTATCTTTCAGGTGCGCTTAAAAATTATTTTTTTGTCGTCTATATTTATTTATATTTCAGTCTCTCTAGAATATAATTCACATGTTACTAATTAATATATGCGCAATCGTATTTTCTTTTTTCTGTCTTTGGAATCAATTTTTATTACCGTTTAAATTATTTTAAATTCTATTTAAATCAGTTTTTTTAACTGCTTGGATAATCCGTCTTACAAAGATTCGCAGTATGATTTTTATATTTATTTCTTGCTGATTCTTGTTTTTTCAAGTCTTCTTTTCGACTCATTATCTTATAACGCGTCTAGGTCAGCTGATTTGAAGGTTCGAATCGTTGGTATCCACGCGTGAGTGCTATTAAACATTCGGGTAAAACGGAAATAAATATTACGTTTAACAGCATTGAATTATCCTCGCATTGAGTCATCATATACCGAAATTTATATACGTACAACTTTAGCTCCGATTATATAATGTCTGATATCATATGTAATTATATATAAAATTGAATTACTAAATCCTTAAGAAGCTAAATTTTTAAATATATATTCATAATTTTTCAAATACTTTAAATCAAATTTGATATTTATAACTTACAAGTTTTAAAAATTTTATATATATTTTAAAAGTAATACACACATATATTCCATATATCTACTAAAAATCAATAAGATTACAATTATAGATTTATCATATTAGATAAAAGATATAAAATTTATCATAGTAGTAGTAAATAAGTGTATTTCACATTAATCGCTTTAGTAAAGCGTTTTATTCACTTTTAGCACTCACCCAATTTATACATTGCATTCTAGACCATCTTTTTCTTTTTATTCTCCGACTATTTTCTATTACTTAAGCGAAATTAAAACACGAGTCGTCCGTATATTTATTTATCAACCATTCGATCGTGTTAACGTTGTTACAACAAACATTTACACGTCTCTGTAAATAATTTCGCGGAAACAATCTCGATTGATAAATTTTACAATCTTGCCCTTACGATGGGCATTGTTATCAACGCAATTATATTTCACACTCGTATATTTCATGGTAGCTTCACGCGACTGGCGAAACTTACGTGCGGCGAGCATGAGCGCGCGATTGAGACTGTCATTCATAAGCGCTCCTTCGCGCCGCGAAGCGACAGTACAAATAATCAACGAGAAAAAAACGAAGCATACTTTCGACTCTGCGTGCTCCAGTAACACCGGATGTACGAGAACTGCCTGTACAAAAACTTCCACCGTCATCCGGTTTCATCTACTTATATCTCTTTTTTCATATCGCTTCTCTCTCTAGCCATCTTCTCCAAAACATTTAGTCACCCACTCTCTCTCTCTCTCTCATTTACTTGTACAAAAGCATTCCCTTCTTATATAATCTCTTTTCTCGCATTACGATAATTCTTCTTCGATTTCTCTTTTCGCACCATTTTCGAATTCTTTACCATTATACCACCGCGACATAATAATAATTCAAAAATTAAAATTATGTCGCCACATAATAAAAATTTGATGAATTAAAATTATGTCTCAGCATAACAAAATTCGATGAATTAAAATTATGTCTCGACATAATAAATATTCGATGAATTAAAATTATGTCGAGACATAATAAAAATTCGATGAATTAAAATTATGTCTCGCCATAATAAAAATTCGAGGAATTAAAATTACGTCTTGACATAATAATAATTCAAGAATTAAAATTATGTCGCCACATAATAAAAATTTGATGATGAATTAAAATTATGTCTCGTCATAATAAAAATTCAAAGAATTAAAATTATGTCGCGACATAATAAAAATTTGATGAATTAAAATTATGTTTCGACATTTTAATTCATCGAATTTTTATCATATCGCGACATAATAATAATTTAAGAATTAAAATTATGTCGCCACATAATAAAAATTTGATGAATTAAAATTATGTTTCGACATAATAATAAGTCAAGAATTTTTATTATGTGGCGACATAATTTTAATTCATGCATTGAATTTTTATCATGTCTTGACATAATTTTAATTCATTGAATTTTTATTATGTCTCGACATAATTTTAATTTATCGAATTTTTATTATGTCTTGACATAATTTTAATTCATTGAATTTTTATTATGTCGCGACATAATTTTAATTCATTGAATTTTTATTATGTCGCGACATAATAATAATTTAAGAATTAAAATTATGTCTTGACATAATTTTAATTCATCGAATTCTTATTATGTCGAATTCTTATTATATCGATAATCGATTTGAAATTGAAGTATTTTTGCAAAAAAAGTATGAAAAAAATTAATTGATATATTTATCAATATTAAGTTTGAATAACTTAACAAATAACTTTATTTGAAGTTAAATTATATATGTCAAGTGTATTTACGCGAAACGAAACATACATATATGTGGGACGCACGAGAGAAGAAGAGGCCTGCATAGATATTTAAGAAGTCTTTCAAACTTTCACTTTTCATGCAAATTTATTCTAACACAAAATCCTGTTAATACTTATATATCTATCGCTTTATCAAAATAAATAATTAAATAAATAGTTCGACTCACATTTCGACGATTCTTCTTCATCGATTTCGATGTACCTACTCCGAATTTCTCGCCGAAACTATCTATTTTTTCTGTAGGAAAACCAAGCTCTATACTCTCCGAGGAACTATCCTCGTAAAAACTTTGAGACACTTTGCACTCACGTTACTTTTTTTCGTTCGCGACCAGCGGCGACGTCCAGGATTTTTGTATCACATTTTCGACGCGTTTCGATACTATCGAGACTATCGAGAATATCGAGAGCTTTGCGCGGGAATAAAACCGACGCTTCGCGTTTTCGCCGCTTTTTTCAAGGCCCACTTATTGAAGAGCCTTTTTGAACGGTGGCGACATCTCGCGACGCACTCAAGAGTCACCGAGTCACAGATTAATAGACAGATCGCCAAAGGCCTGCCTAAAGAAGAGACCGCCATCTTCGTGCGATAGACTTTGCCCCTTACCGACACACTTTGCCCCTGGTTCGAGTCCGTGCTAAATTCGTAGACTTGAACCAAAAGACTTTGCCCCTGGTTCGAGTCCGTGCTAAATTTCGTAGACTCGACCAAAAGACTTTGCCCCTGGTGCAAGTCCAGGCTAAATTCGTTTGACATTACCAACAGACTTTGCCCCTGGTGCGAATCCAGGCTAATTGATCATGAGACCAATTTGAGAGATTTGGCCCCCGTTGTGTGTGTGTGTGTGTGTGTGTGTGAGAGAGAGAGAGAGAGAGAGAGAATATTTTACATATATGCATATATATATAAAATTTATTAAATATAAAAAATATATTTTTTACACATAAAATGTTTTTTTATTGAAATAATCACGATTTTAAATGTGATATAACACAGTGTTCAAAAATTTTTTAATTAAATTTTTTAATTAAATTTTATTAAAGAAAATTACTTGAAATTTTTTACATTAAGAATTTAAAGGCTCCTTATTCTCTTGTAGAAATTTATCACTACGCCAATTAATCACTTATTTTGAGTATTTAAAATACTATAATATACAGTAATTTAAGTATTCGAAATAAAAGTGATTAATTACTCGAAATAAGTGATAAATTGGCGTTACTAGTAATAAATTTCTATAAGGGTTGAAATAAAGTATAAGAGATAAATAGGCTATATGTGAGCCGTATGCGAAATGTGAGATGTAAGACGCATATTGAAATTTAATTTTTCGATATAACTTTCAAAAATGTACACGAGGTACAAAAAATTAGCTTGGACATTTGTAAGACTTAAAATTGGGATTAATTCTCAATTCTATTAATTAAATTTCGATATAACACACCTTACATCCGCGCACGGCTCACATATATATAGCCCATTTATTAGTGCAATTTTTAAGTTCCTTATTTTTCAAAGTTCACCTTTTTACGTTATCAAATATTTTTACGTTTTCAAGAATTTTATATTTTTACTTACCGCAGTTTCTTATCCAAATGTAAAATCTTTTATCGCAGTCTATAAAAAATTGAAACAATTTACAATTTTATGATATAATATTATTATTATTACAATTTCTATATATATGCACATCTGTCAAATATCGTGATTTATTTCACATTATTATTATCTATTTTAATAAAAAAAAACAAAAACACTTGCAACAATCAAAAATAAACCGCCTGCCGCGAACGGAAAATGCCAAGAAAGCACGCAATTTCCGCGAATCTCGTAATTTTTTTGAAAAATCAACAATTTCAACGAAATTGTAAATTCTTCAAATCACTGCACAAGTATAATTCACAATAATAATTTTCAGTAACTACGATAAAAAATCGTATACTGAAAACCGCAAACGAAAGTGCAATGGGAGTAAGAGTAAAGTCTGTGATAAAATTAATTGGCAATAGAAAATTAATAATTTTCAAATAGAAAAATTTTGAAATTACCGAGGATTTACAAATAATAAAGTAAAAATATTAAATAATTTATGTTTTCGAATTTTGCTCGCGGAGAGGATCTTTAAAACAAGATTTTTAGAAGAGAGGACCTTTAAAATATAAACAGGCAAAAACGTTGGAAAAATTAAAGCGCGCGTTTAAACAGATAAACGCAATGAAATAAATACGCAATTGTTTTTACTTATCGCTGTAAGCTCACAAGCTTCTGACGTGCTATACACTTTTATATAATATATACAAGGTGTCCGGTAACTAACGGACCAATGATTAAGGGCGGATTCTCTGGCCAATTTGGAGACGATTTTTCCTTAGCAAAAATGTTGAGAAGTCAATAATTTTCGAGTTATAAGCGATTGAAAAAAATAGGTTTTTTGAAAACTAAACGTTTTGGAGTTAAAAGTCTAACATAATTACATTCTTCAGTTAATTTCAGGTAGAGTTTACTATAATAAAATTTTAATTTAAGGCTTAGTTATAAAGATACATAATGACAAAGATTGGAAAGTTGTAAAAAATGATGACCTTTTTCGACATTTTCGCTGAGGAAAAATCGTTCCCAAATTGACCAAAGAATCCATTTGTAATCATTGGTCTGTTAGTTACCGGACACCCTGTATATTGGACACGAGTTTCGTTTGTTTCAGATTCTCGAGAGTTGAAGTAGGAACATACGAGTATCATATATCGTTTGTGACTTGCCGAATGAAAGCAAGACAGAGAGCGAACGAGATGATGAGCTTAATAGCTCATAATGTTATAAATAAATAAATAAAAAATTATAACCTGACCTACTAGTTATTGAATCTTTTTTTAATAAAATGTTTCATTATTATTATCATCTAAGTCTAAGTCGTTTAATTACTTTTTAGTTTTTTAATAATTAATTTAATTTATTCTAGTCATTTTTATATGAGAAAAATAATATCACGTATACGTTTTATAATGAATTAATATATTTCGGGAACCGAATTATATATTCTTAATAATATAAAAGTGTTCAAAAATTATATTTGACTTTTAATTTTAATTATTTTATAGCAAAGAGTTCCGAAATCTCTTACACACATAATGGGGATTTTTTTCATCCATATAATTCGCAATTAAGTATATATGTTAATTATTAATTTTAATAAAATAAAAATTAAAATTAAAGGTCAAATATAATTTTTAAACACAAATATATTAAATTAATTATAAAACGTATACCCATGATAGTATTTTTCTCGTACAAAAATAATTAGAGTAAATTAAATTAATCATAAAAGATTAAAAATTAATTAAAGAATTTAAACTTATATTTTATATAATAATAATAAAACATTTTATTACGTCAAACCGTCGTGAAATAATTAAATAAAATTTGCTAGTTACGTCAAAGTCAAGTTTTCTAAGCTTATAAAACATTTTATTAAAAAACAGATTCAATAAATATAAGTACATGTTATATATATACTTATATTTATTGAATCTGTTTTTTTTATAAAATGTTTTATTATTATCATATATAATATAAATTATTTAATTATTTTTTAATTTTTTATGAGTAATTTAATTTGTTCTAGTTATTTTTGTACGAGAAAAATACTATCACGGGTATACGTTTTATAACGAATTAAATATATTTATGTTCAAAAATTATATTTGACCTTTAATTTTAATTTTGTATTTTATTAAAATTAATAATTAACATATATACTTAATTGCGAATTATATGGATGAACAAAATCCCTATTATGTGTGTAAGAGATTTCGGAACTCTTTGCTAAAATAATTAAAATTAAAAGTCAAATATAATTTTTGAACACTTTTATATTATTAAAAATATATAATTCGACTCTCGAAATATATTAATTCATTATAAAACGTATACGTATTAGTATTTTTCACATATTAAAATGATTAGAATAAATTAAATTAATTATTAAAAAACTAAAAATTAATTAAACGACTTAGACTTAGATGATAATAATAATGAAACATTTATTAAAAAATAATTATAATAGGTCAGGTTAATATTTTATTTATTTATTTATTTATAACATCATAAAATTCTGTCCTTTCCGAAATACGCGAACGCTACGAAAAGATAAATCTCGTACATGCCGCCGGACGAGTTCATGAGCATGAGACGCTCTTATCTTGGGAACGTATTAATAGTTACTGCATTGACCACTACTACGATATGGCGCTGAAATCAGTGAGAAATGCTGGTCTCTCCTTCATCCAGACCTTTGGCGATCTGTCTATTAATCTGTGATAATGACAGAATTTAAAAATTGAAAATATGCACAAACAAGATGTGTCCTCATATGACATGACATATATATAGTATTATATTGAAATAAAAAAAATATAAAAAGCTTACCAGTAAAGCAAATGAATTTAATTATGTAGTTTTAGCCTTTAGAATGGATATAGATGGCAGTATTCCATTTATATAGTAAATTGATCTGGAAGAAAACAGTGACGCTTGCATTTTCCTCCATTTTCGTATTATCAGAGAGAAAGATGAGAGCGGCCAGGCCGGCGTTTTGGCTGTTACCGTTTTTACGGGACTGCTTGAAGCGCCCCTCGCACCCGTTTTTAATATCGGAACTAACTGCACACCCATTTTCTGGCAGGGTCGATAAAGTTTGTATTTGGTGCGAGTCCGTGCTACGCCCATAATTTTCGTGTTAACACAGTATCACGTATTCATTCTGTATATGTGCGATCTTTTCTCTTTATTTATATATATATATATATATATATATATATATATATATATGTATTTATATAATTTGTATAAAAACTAAAATATAATTATTAAAATATATATATATATATATATGTATATGTGTAATGAAATATATAAATCTTATTTTAATTAAAATAAAAAGAACGATTAATTGTTCGACCACCTGGATTTTGGAATGTAATTTTTAATATATATTATATTATATTTAATATTTATCGCCGCTTCTATTAATATGAAGTGCAATGTCAACGTGCAATAATGTACAATTATTTAAAGTTTCCATGCCTAATGTATCATGCCGGTATAAAAGAACGTCAAGTAGCATGCGTAGCCGAGCAACTAAGATGACGAGCTGAAATCGTGGACATTTCAAGTTCAAACCCCTGCCTTTTTCAGATTTTTTTTTCACTTTTTTCAAATAAGTTATTATGTGTATAAATGTGTAATAATCAATATATCATTATTTGATAATTTTTTTTGTAATGGAACAAAATAAATTATTTTTTAATTCTGCAAGGAATTTAATTATTAATGCAAACGCCCACACACATAATTTAGATATTCAATTTTTTTTAGTTCAAATGTTTCTTGCAATCTGTATACGACAATCAGTCCACTCGCTGTGCCACAGATTGCATCGCATAATACGCTCAGAGTTATAATACGATAGAGATCGCTTTACGCTGTTTTTCCTTGAAATAAATAAATTTTACGTGTTGTGTACGCGTGTTTAGTATATTTGTTTCTTTCATATTAATTTTAACTATAATTAGTTTTTTAATTAAGATTATTTTAGTGTTAGTTGTTTATTTGTTAGTGTCCTGTTTTCTTTAATTTCGCATTTTTTAATTTTCTTTTTTTTTTGGTGTTGGTGCTAATTATTATTTTTATTTTACAATGTCGAGTAAACACCGGTTTTACGATAAATGTGTGTATTTAAATTGCACAAATATTAGGACAAAAGATGGAAAACGTTTATTTCGATTTCCATTACAAACGGGTGCGAGACATGATTTATGGTTACGCAATAGTGGTGAGTTTATAAAATTGATTTACTTATTTATATCAATATATAATATATATTGATATGATATATGAAACAAATATATATATATATTCTTTGTTTTTTTTAATAAAATATGTCAGATATTATGTATGTTTACGTATGGATTACGTTGAAGTGTTTCTTTGCCGCGTTTTTCTGATCTCGCCGAACGGTTCGCGAATCCTGTGCGAATAAAAAACGATGCGCGTGTGTGTGTGCGTGCGATTGTGATGATCAGTTTCAGTTCGTCTTCAACGCTTGACGAGAGAAGAGGTCCCGAACTGCTGTAAGTTTATAAAAACATATTTTTGTATAACACATTAGAACGATTTTATATTATTTTTTTTGTCTAGAAAACGTTATATTAATAACCGTTATGAAAACGATCTCGACGACGGCGACGATGCCGGTGACGACCGTCGTCGAGATCGTTTTCATAACGGTTATTAATATAACGTTTTCTAGACAAAAAAAATAATATAAAATCGTTCTAATGTGTTATACAAAAATATGTTTTTATAAACTTACAGCAGTTCGGGACCTCTTCTCTCGTCAAGCGTTGAAGACGAACTGAAACTGATCATCACAATCGCACGCACACACACACGCGCATCGTTTTTTATTCGCACAGGATTCGCGAACCGTTCGGCGAGATCAGAAAAACGCGGCAAAGAAACACTTCAACGTAATCCATACGTAAACATACATAATATCTGACATATTTTATTAAAAAAAACAAAGAATATATATATATATTTGTTTCATATATCATATCAATATATATTATATATTGATATAAATAAGTAAATCAATTTTATAAACTCACCACTATTGCGTAACCATAAATCATGTCTCGCACCCGTTTGTAATGGAAATCGAAATAAACGTTTTCCATCTTTTGTCCTAATATTTGTGCAATTTAAATACACACATTTATCGTAAAACCGGTGTTTACTCGACATTGTAAAATAAAAATAATAATTAGCACCAACACCAAAAAAAAAGAAAATTAAAAAATGCGAAATTAAAGAAAACAGGACACTAACAAATAAACAACTAACACTAAAATAATCTTAATTAAAAAACTAATTATAGTTAAAATTAATATGAAAGAAACAAATATACTAAACACGCGTACACAACACGTAAAATTTATTTATTTCAAGGAAAAACAGCGTAAAGCGATCTCTATCGTATTATAACTCTGAGCGTATTATGCGATGCAATCTGTGGCACAGCGAGTGGACTGATTGTCGTATACAGATTGCAAGAAACATTTGAACTAAAAAAAATTGAATATCTAAATTATGTGTGTGGGCGTTTGCATTAATAATTAAATTCCTTGCAGAATTAAAAAATAATTTATTTTGTTCCATTACAAAAAAAATTATCAAATAATGATATATTGATTATTACACATTTATACACATAATAACTTATTTGAAAAAAGTGAAAAAAAAATCTGAAAAAGGCAGGGGTTTGAACTTGAAATGTCCACGATTTCAGCTCGTCATCTTAGTTGCTCGGCTACGCATGCTACTTGACGTTCTTTTATACCGGCATGATACATTAGGCATGGAAACTTTAAATAATTGTACATTATTGCACGTTGACATTGCACTTCATATTAATAGAAGCGGCGATAAATATTAAATATAATATAATATATATTAAAAATTACATTCCAAAATCCAGGTGGTCGAACAATTAATCGTTCTTTTTATTTTAATTAAAATAAGATTTATATATTTCATTACACATATACATATATATATATATATTTAATAATTATATTTTAGTTTTTATACAAATTATATAAATACATATATATATATATATATATATATATATATAAATAAAGAGAAAAGATCGCACATATACAGAATGAATACGTGATACTGTGTTAACACGAAAATTATGGGCGTAGCACGGACTCGCACCAAATACAAACTTTATCGACCCTGCCAGAAAATGGGTGTGCAGTTAGTTCCGATATTAAAAACGGGTGCGAGGGGCGCTTCAAGCAGTCCCGTAAAAACGGTAACAGCCAAAACGCCGGCCTGGCCGCTCTCATCTTTCTCTCTGGTATTATTCTTTGTTCCTCTCTTTCAAAATAAACAGGAGTTTGTATTGAAAAATTTTCAATCGAATGACTTGGATTAAATGCGATTGATGGATACAAATTTGTCGCTTTATCTAGTTTTTTTATCAATGTAGTGAAAAAACGAAGGAGAAAACATATGTGCAGAAAATATAAAACCTTGTGTTTTCATGTTTGCGCGAGGTTAACATGTAACCACCAGTGTTGTGTATAAAAACGATTCTTTTTTATATATGCAATTGTACAGGATGAATTTTGTATTAGAACGACTGCACAATACAGATAAAACGCGCATTGTCTTGGATGTGCATAATCATTCTGTAAGATACTTTCATAAATTACTGCATTAAACATTGGGTACAAGGGTCAAACTTGCTTTGCAAGAACTAACTGCATCAGAAAAGAAAAGTTTTCACTAAAGCAATCATAAACTTTCAGCTTTAATTTAAATCTCTTGCTTTGATGATTACTGTTTGAGAAATATTAACTTTATTATGACGTAAAGTTAATCTTAAACACTAATAATTTACTAAAGTGGTAGTAATTCTTCATTCCTCTTTTTTTTCTTATTTATAAAATTATTATTATGTATATTATTAATATTAACATTTTAAGTAATTAAATCTTTATTTATAAGACACTTTAATGTCTTATAAAAGATTTATCTTGATTCGTTGTAGCTGGTGTTTTATTTATACATACGTATATATGTGTATATAATTATTTTTTTCTATAAAGTCTTTTAATTATAGTTATTTAAATTTTTCAGTATCCTTGTGGTAGAGGCAGAGAAAATGAGATCATTTGCCTTAGTTTACTCATATCCCGTAAACATTGCATATTTGTTCGTGACGCTAATGATTTATATATCACAGATTATGGTGTATGTATAAAATATTATTTTGTTTTAATTATTTTGATATTGGTTTTTTATTAATGAGTATAATATATTTACAATATTAAAACAAATTTCTTAAAATTTTTCAGAGTGGAAATGGTGTTTATGTTAATGGGCAAAAACAACAACCTTTTTATATGGTTAAACTAAAGAAGGATGATATTATTGGACTTGGTTGTGGAAACATTAATCCAGATAATGATACATTGTATACTTACAAAGTTTGCACAATTAAGGTAGGATATTTTTATATTAGTATTTATTATTTAGCACAGACATTTCTGTGTATGTTTCTTATTAAAATGTATGGATTTAATTATATAATATATTTTTTTAGTTATCCTCTGATACAGAAGAAATTCATAACACGGAAAAAAGTATTTTGTCAACCACAGTTATAAATAATAATACACCAGCAACATCTACTACTCCTACAGAACGTATTGTAGGAAAAAAGTATGGAATTAATACAGATAATACAGATACTGATGTGAATACTGAAGTACCTAAAAAAAAATTAAAAATCATAGATAGAAGTAAACATAGTTCTACAATTACTTCATCAAAAGGTAACTTTCCATTTATGATATATATATTCCATAGTAACTATATTTTCTATATTAACTAGATAAATTAAATTTTTATATTAATTTTAAATTAAATTTTTATATTAATTTAATTAAATTTTTGTTGCAGACAATAATAATTCTAATGTTTCTTGTAATAAACAAAATTTAGCCAGTAGCAGTGCTACAAATAATTCCATAGAAGATCAATTTTATATTGTGGATGTTGAGACAGAAATGGGTGTAGAGATAAAAGTGGATGTAGAGGCAGAAGTGGGTATAGAGACAAAAGTGGATGTAGAGGCAGAAGTGGATGTAGAGGAAGAAGTGGATGTAGAGGAAGAAGTGAATGTAGAGACAGAAGATGACATTGAAATAATTCATACATCTATAAGAAAAAAAAATAAAGAATGAAGATAATTGTAAATCTGCAAAATATTTGGACAGCAATAATAAATTGAATTGCAATAAACAAATGGATAGCATTATTGATGAGAATAATAAGGATGATAGTAATGATAGTAATAAAAACATAAACAAAATAGATGAAACAGAAAAGTTAAATAGCACTGATAAAACAAATGGAACAATAAATCTCCCGAAGAATTTAAACGTTGTACAGTCCGAAGACCAAATCATTATATTGGAAAATCAAAACACAGATAATGAAGAAGAATCTATAAAATCTATTAATATGACTTGTGACACATCATTGATTAAATTGAAGAAAATAAAACAAGAACCAAAGACGCGATTTTCAGAGATTGATGTTATTGATTTGAGTGATGACGAAGAAGGAATATTTCCACTTTCCCAATTATTTGATATCAAATATGAAGATAATACAGAGCACGAAACAGAAATTAAACAGGAATATATCAACAATGATGATCAAAACATTGAAAAAATTGGCCTGAATGTGGATGATGAAGTCATCTTTTTATCGGACAGTGAAGATGAGGATAATCCATGGTTGGAACGATTATCTAGAAGTCAACTAATTAACGAGGACAAAATATCTGATTTTAATAATGCAGTTGTAAAAGACGAAATCGATTTAGGAATTTGGGACGAAGATGATATCTTAAGTATAAGTGCAGATGAAGACGGCAATTCGAAGAAATCAGAAAATGATAACAATAGTAACTTATTGACGACAAAACTGGAAGCGGTAGATATAAGTGATGTCGGTTCTTCTAACGAGCCTAGTTCAAAAAATACTGATGATGTAAATAAAAACAACAAAGAAAAAATAAACGATGATGCAGAGTTAAATAAAGAATTAGATAAAGATAAAGAAACATTGCATATAAAAAGTACAATACAAAAGCCAGCTATAAAAAAGTCAGTCACAACATCAAAACGATTAATAGAAGTAATAGAACCATTAAATTTACCTATAAAAAGAAATCGAGCCGATTATAATAAAGACAAAATACAAAAAGAAAAATCCTCGAAATTAAAGAAAAAAAAGATGTCGGAATTGAAAAAAAATGTTAATGATAATTTCTATAATAAAAAACAGGAGCATTGTGAAAAAACGCTTAAATCGACAACTGATTGCCATTCACCAAACGAAGCGAAAGCTATTTCTAAGGATGAAAAAAAGATGATAATCGAAAAGAGAAAAATAAAATTGAAAGAGATTGCTGAAGAAAAGAAGAAATTATCCACCAAGAGTGATCAGAATATTAAGCGCAGAACTGCTACAGCGATAGCTAAAGTATCATTGAAAAATCGAAATGATTTTCTCACTGAGGATTTTCTCGTTGAGGAAAAGTCCTCATCTAAATTACTTCAAGATAAGTCCATAAACCTACCAAAACCGAATAATGATCAGTTTAAAGAACGATTAACGAATAAAGCTGATATGCTGAAGAAACCTTCAACTTCTCACATAGAAATGCAGAAATTACATCAGAAAGGTGATGTTTCTAAGGATCCAATAAATGATATTGTTACATCATTAGAACAGTCATTGAAATTGGATAATATGAAAGTACCTACAAATAACAAAGAGGATTCTATAATGACAAATGACAGAGAAAGCAGGAGCACAGGACTGAAAAAAAGGAAGAAGCGTCTATCCAAACAACTAGATAAATCAACTGAAAATGATCTCACTGCACAGAAAGAAACTTTCTCACCGAACAATTTGAAATCGAGTTTGAAATCGAAATTGAAAGTATTAAAAGAAAAGAAGAAAGTGACTTTTGCTAACAAACCAGAAATAAGAGAATACGAAATTGATCAGTATAATTCTCTAAGAAGATTAGTTGGGAAAGATGCACCTATACCTGTAAATAAATTAAAAACACCTACGACCAGTGCAGAATATAGCCCAAAATTGGAAGAATTTTTACTATGCATATTCAAGTGGAATCCAATATGGCTCGAGGAACAGCGACATCTCAAGACCGAACCGCCAATTGTACCACACTATGAACTTCAAAATATGAAGTTAAACTATGATTCTTATAAACAGTATTACAACATCGCGATGCCTCTCCTCTTACTCGAGACATGGTACACTGTGACCAAAGAGTTTGAAACGATTGAAAAGAATAAACAACGTTGTCCTATGATGTGTTTTGTAATTGAAAATTCTACATGTACTTCCATACCATCAACTAATTTATTCTTGACAACTCTAAAACTTGAAGTGTTAGTTCGAAAAGAGGATCTCATTAAGCAAGCACATCCCATTTATGGGGATCTAGTATGCTTCGAGTATGTCGCGACTGCACATGGAAAGCAAATCTTTAACAGGATATTTGCCTACGTCACCAACATGTATCAAACGATTATCACGGATTTCACGCATTGCAATCAGGATCTAAGGAATCATGTCAAAAATCCACATGCTAAGATAACGTACACTTTGTTGACACGACCTCTTCAGCATGATGTCCCTGTAAATAGAGTGCAAAGACTCCGAACAGTTATGTATCTACGAGCAAATATCAGAACGGTACAAGCATTACAATATCTTCCTCAATCGCCTCTCTTGGAATTGATTTTGAATCCTAAAATTGAGGAATATCAATTGCAACCAATAGACGAGAAGTTTACATGTTCTTCACTGGTTACAAAAGACAATTTAAATCCAAAACAGCTGGAAGCTGTGTACAGAGTAACGGAAACCGTGTTAAAAAAAGAAGCTAAACTATGTTTTGTTCAAGGACCGCCAGGGACCGGCAAGTCTAAGGTGATTGTCAACCTGGTGACTCAAATATTATACGGTGAGCATACAAACCGGAAATCTTTGAGGATTCTAGTTTGCGCACCGTCCAATGCCGCCATCGACGAAATTGTGTTAAGACTTCTAGACATCAGGTCCAAGTTGAGAAAGAAACGTTTCAACATGGTACGCATTGGCCGTTTGGAATACATGCATTCAATGACTAAACCCATCTCCGTGACGGAATTAGCAAAACGACACTTGACGAAATTGTCACAGGAAGCAGCTTCTTCGGATAGCGCCGAGGATATAGCGATATTAGAGGCGCGGATTAATGCGCTTCAAACCGAGCTCGCACATTCTCGGAATATGGACGAAATGAAGAAGAAGGATTTAACGAGAAAACTAATGGAAACGACGACGAGACACGAGTTATTGAAAGGCGGTAAATCAATTAATGAGCTTAGTGCAAAGGACCGCGCCAAATATCAACGTATTACGGAGAATATCATTCTTACGGGCGCCGATATAATCGCTTGTACGCTTTCGTCCTGTTATACCAATCAAATGGAATCGATCTTCGGGGGTTTCAAAGAAAAGATATCCGTCTGCATCGTTGATGAGGCAACGCAGAGCTGCGAAGCGGAGACCCTGATACCATTGATGTTAGGAGTTAGAACCCTGGTTTTAGTGGGCGATCCAAATCAGCTGCCTGCAACTATCTTGAGCCAACAAGCGAAGAAGCTGGGTTTAGATCAGTCGATATTTTCAAGGGTACAGAACGTTTTCGCGTCAAAACAGAACAGTCCTATAATAATGTTGGACCTGCAATATCGTATGGATTATTCCATCTCGTATTGGCCAAATAAATATTTCTATGATGGAAAATTGAGAAATGCTGTTGAATTTAGAATGAGATTTCCATTTCACGCATACAGACTGTTGGATCATGATTTCATGCAAAACGATGATAAATTTTCCAACACCGTCGAAGCAGAATTCGTGGCAAACTTAATTTTGGCTATGCTGACATTTGCAAATTGGGAGAATACGAACTCCAGCATTTCTCTCGGAGTTCTCACGCCATACAACAACCAAAGAACTCTTATATTGAATAAAATAAACGAAAAGTAAGTAATGATTGTTTCTTCTCTTAATGAATGTGCATATACATTTGTTATGAATCTTGTATTCTTCAGGATATTTCCAGTAGCGGATGATCTGAAAAAGAAAATTAACTTTGAAGTTAATACAGTTGACAGTTTTCAAGGTCAAGAACGAGATGTTATAATTATGTCTTGTGTGAGAAGTCGTGGAATTGGATTTTTATCAGACAGGCAAAGACTCTGCGTAGCACTCACAAGAGCTAAACACAGTTTGATATTATGTGGAAATTTCAATACTTTTTTGGTAAATATAAAATAATTATTGGATTTAAATTCTCTCTCTAGAAATTTTCTGTTTCTCTGTATTTTTTTCAATTTAAATCAACTAATGAATTTTTGATTTACAGAAAGATCAAATGTGGAATGCATTGGTATCTGATGCAAAAAGTCGAGGTGTTTTATGTCGTGTCAATGCTAGTGCAACTCCTAATATCATTAAACAATTCATCATTAAATAGGGAAAGTGTAATCAAATTTTGATATATTCAATATATTATGTAAGCTATATTTTTATATATTTTGTATACATTTTGTGAATATCTAGTTTAGTATTAGTATTTAAGTACATTACTTTATTTTTAAATAAAAATGTATTATAGAAATGTTATTTAATGTTTTATATATATATATATATATATATATATATATATATATATATGTTTTATGTTCTCATAAATTCTTTTATCATTGTATTTGAGAATAAAAGAATCTAAAATTGTTAAATATAACGCGCCACTTTCGACCGATCAATGCTATACTGTTGCGCTTGCGCTCATTCTTTCATCAGGTATACGAATGTAAACACGATCAGCTGTTCGAAACTGTACAAAATAAATCCGACATTATTCGTCGATTACAATTGTAAACGATATTCTTTACTTCGTAACGTAATTATGGTTGTATTTCGAAGTATAACAGAAGACGAATACAAGAATGAACATATGAAGTTCCAACAATTATACGCATTTCACGAGACACCCTTCGGGAAATGTCTCATCGCTATAACCGACACCGACGAAGACGTCATTTATTTAGGATTCGTCGAGGACGAGAACGAAGCTTTGAAAATTCTAAAGCAGAAATGGCCAATAACTAAAATATTAAAGGATAACGAAAATAAGACGAAGAATATCATTGAGAAAATTTTTCATCCTGACACATCCGATCTGCATTCCGTTTGTGTTCTGATGAAAGGTACCGAGTTCCAAATTAAAGTATGGAAATCTCTAATAAACATTCCTAAAGGAACGATTACTACATATGAAAAGATTGCGCAGATGATAGATAATCCCAGAGCTGCAATAGCAGTGGGAAATGCAATTTCCAAAAATTATATTGCATATATTGTACCATGTCACCGTGTGAAAGGGAAGAATGGCAGCAATAAATATGCTTGGGGAGTAGAGCGGAAGGAAGCCCTCCTGGAATATGAAAGCCGACATGTGTAAGATCAAATATTACAATATAAAATATCCAATTTTTCTACTCATATATATGATTCCTTTTTATGCTCTTTGTTTCAAATGTCTTAAAAAAATGTAAAACACTTAATCAATTGAAAGGCCACATAAGATTCTTTTTTTCTTTGAATTTGCTTTTAATTTTAGGCATGCAATATAAATTGCACAAATACACGCGATAAAATATAATACAATATGAAATATCTAATTTTTCTACTCATATATATATGATTCCTTTTTATTTTCTTTGTTAACAAATGTCTTAAAAGGATGATAACACTTAATCAAATAAAAGGCCACGTAAGATTCTTATTTTCTTTGAATTTTCTTTTAATTTTAGGCACGCAACATAAATTGCACAAATACACTGGCAATAAATATTTATTTTCCTTACATTGGATCATGTAAAAGTATAAAAGTCCTTTCATTAGTACAATAAAATACAATGAACACACATACATATCTTCTAAAGATGCCTTTTTTTAATTCCAAATATTTCTTAAAGATACCAGTTATTGTCACATCTATTTACAGTACATTTTGTTCTGTATATCAGTTATATAATTCTATTAAATTAAATACTTATGTATAACTGAAAGTGTTAACATAAGTAGAAACTCAAATTGTCATATGCAAATCACATACTTTGATGGAAATTAATATTTCTATAATATATAGCTTCTGACAATGCTTTGAGTTATGTTTTGTGGAAATAGAAATATGTATCTATTGTGATTTATGTCTTAATCTTATTTTAAATAATCTTAATTCTGTAACACATTTCTCACACATTTTATTATTGCTTACTTGTCTCTTTTATACAGTTTTTATACATCCTCCATAATTACAAAGAGTGAACTTTGTTCACTACTATTTATATTAAATACAAGTTAAATATTAAGAAATGCATTTATAAAGACGTAAAATTCAATTTTCGATGACATTAAGTTTACACTATTACAATATTTTTTTATTACTTATAATATTTTCTGTACAATTTATAATCAGGCAAAAGTAATGTGTATTTTTCGTTAAATTTGTTGCATTATCAATATTATATACTAATAAATAATTAATAAGTTTACACATATATGTACACTTATCTTCATTGTTCATATTAGTTTAACTGTGAGAACGAATTAAAATCACGAATAAGTATATTTTTGCATTAAAAAAAAGTTCTTTGATTTAAAAAAAACTTAGTTTTTTAATCAACTCTCATATAAATGGAAATTTTTTTGATATTAGATTTTTATGTATAGATTCTTTTTCTTAATATTAGATATTTATTTTCACATTTACGTATTTGTCTTTCATCTTATAACTAAATATGATAAAATATATTTCAATTCTAAAATTCGTAATCACGCAAAGCATGAGGCACGCCTTTACTTATCTTCTTAATTAATACTTTTACACAGAATTTGTAGTTTTTTTTATTCCTTTACAAAATTCGATATGTTTTTCGCAAAGATATATTTCTTTTTATGCTTAATATTACATATATATCTCTGCTAAAATCATTTATCTCTAATAGAGAAGAAAGAAAACTAGAAATTGAACCATATTAAAATAGTAGCTTGTGTCAGTCTTTGAAACTGTATAATTCATATATTTTTAAGCTATATTTATTTTATTATGGCTTGTTTTTTTCCCTACAAAAATTCTATAAAAATTTAAGAAAGATCTTATTTCATTTACATTATCATAAAAAAATATCACCATCGAGTTTAAATAATATAAGGGTGTAGACAAATCTGACAGGTGTCTGTCTTGTTTAATTTAAAAAAATTTAATGTCATGATATAATTATCATTTTATCTTTAAAAATATTTTTCCAGAAAATAAAATTAATTTATCATATAATTATTTACAAAATTGTAGTAAATTTCTTTTTTATCATTGTTTTTGTATTTTGTGATGCTTGTTTCATAAAAAATCATTATTTATTTGCATGCAGACAACGGCTCTTTGGATTTTCATGAACGAAAGTCTAACGTAAAACTTCTTGTATCATATGAAGCAATACATAAAACATGACTGTCGAGACCTAATATCTCCCGTATTTATCTATTAAAACTAATTAAATAAATAGTAATGTAATGATCCACAGTATATAAGAAATAGCAATTAATCACAATTTTATTATCAGCGAAGAGTTTATAATATATTTTTAACTCTTTCTTTTGTATTTTCTTCAAAATCGTTAAAAAATATTTCTCTTGTAAGATTTCTTATGTCGCTCATTCGATGGAATAGCGTACATTTCTCATTCAATTATATAATTCTATTGAAAAAATAATCTCGCAAAATGCAGAGTAATGTGCGCGATTTGAAAAAAATAAAGTATAAATATACAAATTTTCTACACTTTCCACAATATCATTTTAAGTCGGTCTTTATAATAAATAACTGCTCTTCTCACATTTCTCGATTGTCGGTCAGACAAAAATAACAAAAATGCAGCAATGTGTGCATCGGAATATCAGTATACATTAACTACTTCGGTAACTATTGATTCCGAAAGACATTATCATTATTCATGCTTATATGAGGAAGCTACTTCGAAGAACGCAATGAGGATGCTGATGAGAAGTACAAAATTCATGCACGTTCTCGATTTGTCAGAAGCTGATGAAACTTCGTTTCCTGGCACACGAGTAGTTACTGTCAAGAAAAAAATCAAATATTTATTACACAGCAATAATATTTAATTAATCTGAATCTCAATAGATTGTAAAAATAATAACACGAAAAATTTATATATATACAAAATGTTATATTTTATAATTATTTAATTATATTTAATAAATCATTAAATTAAAAACAATTATATTCTTTTTATCTAAAGAAATTATAAAAATTGAATATATATTGCATATTATATTTTTTCTTACGTGATAATCTCGATCGCGGAGTCGTCGTAATTCTCATTATTGGATTATGAGGGGTCGGTTTCAACGGAGTAGGCGCAGGACTCGGCGAATTTCCATAACATAGTCCTTAAATAATATTATCACAATATAAAAATTCTCTCTCTATTGTTGCAATAATTAGAAAAGAAAAAAAAATTCGATTTTATTCAGGATATTTTCCTATATGATTCTTGTATGTGTATCTGATTTCATATAAGTATCTAATATAAGTATTCAGTTAAAAAATTAAATCAGTAAATTAAAAATCATGAAATAAAAATATAATCGTAATATATCATTATAAGTGTTATTTTAGAAGGATATTTACCCTTTCTATAGAGACGCATACCCTCCGTTTTGGGATCTATATTTCGTATGCAATGATCACCAGCTTCCTTGATATATATTTCTTCATCGTTGACAATCAGACCCACGAAGCATTCATTTGTACTAGTGTCGTTTCTCATGGTATAAGTATACATTACACCTTTCTCCTCCCATTGTCCCAAGCATAAATATGTCCTTTCTAAAAACCAACGAACAAAAGCTACATACTCAAAATACTTTAGAAAAGAAATATTTTTGTATAAATTTTCAAATTAAAATTTTATCGAAATGTTTTATCAAATCTAAAAAAAAATAGAGGAATTATAATTGGGAATTAACGATTTGTATAATATATATATATATATATATTATCATATTATATTTTGCAAAAATTATTATATTTAATATATTTTTGCAATAATATTTTTAAACTATATAGTAATCTTTTTCTAACATGTCTTAATAATATATATATATATATATATATATATATATATATATATATATTTTCTTTTTTTTTATTTAGTTTAAAAATCTTATAATTGTATATACCTTCATACAGTTCTCCGGATTCGCAGTCGCTCACTTTAAAATACATTATTTCCCGAGTGTTGCAATTGCTGCTTAATTCCGCACACATTCCTGATAGATCTGTTATCATCCCTGTATACTGGCCCGTAATTGGACAAGGTGACTCCACTGCGCGCTCGATACCTTGTTACAAAATATTATTAATTATTTATTACATTCAATAGTAATAGTTGTGCATTTAAAAAATGTGTGATTTAAAATACAAGTATTAGAATATCACTGGAAAATCACTGGATGGATAACTTATAAAGATCTTATATATATATATATATATATATACTTACGTGCTTGAGTCATCCACACCGGCTTGTCCAGATTGGGGTCGTCGCATAAACCATCCCGATGAACTGGATTAGGGACCTGCCCTGTTAAATTGAGGGTATTATTTTTATATTATAACCAATTAAAATCTGTCAGAAATAGATTAACGAGAAGTGAGAAAAGATTCTTCTCAAAATTAATATTGATAGTTATTTATATCTTATACGGTTCTATTTTTTATTATTATTTTAATTAATCTTTTTATTATATGGTTTTATATTATTTTGGTTTGATAGAAATTTTATTACAACAAATATTTTTATTCGTAGATTTCTTCTCTTTTGAATATTTCAAGTTGTTGAAAAATCAATTAATGATAATAAAAAAAGTTGTTGCATAATTATTAATTGTATGAAATACAAGTAATTACCTATCGTAAATTCTAATACGTTTTCACTGCGCTGTCTCATCATCAAGCATACAAAGGCAGCTTCCTCACTGAAATTAAAACTAAATGGTCATTTTATTTTTAATTTTCACTATTAGTAAAATAATAGAAACGAGAATGTTACTGTATTTATAATGAAAACAAATTTATTTTATAGAGAAAGAAAAAGAATATATTTAAAAATTTTTTTTTGATAAAATGTATATGTACATAAATAGTAAATAAATGAACTTACCACTGATTTTTCGAATACACAACGTAACGACCAGTCTCTTCGTTGGACTCCACCGTAATAAAAGTATAACTATTGTAGCCATTGAGATCGGTGAAAGTCATAGTGCCATTAACTATGAGAGACTGCTCCCACACACCTTGTGCCCATTTTGGGAATCTAATATTTTATTAGGAGAGGATATAGATTTTATTGTAATTGTTTTATTATAATTATGTTAATATTTATAATAACACTTATTATAACAATAATTAAAAAATAATTGGAAAATACTCACGTGGCAACATGAGTCTTCACATATTCTGGCACCTTCTTTTGATTTAAACTTTTGCTCAAAATCAAAGTCTCATATCCGCTAGTCGAATTTTTAAATCTCTTGTGCAGCTCGAATCACTACTAAATGCCATATAAGTCTTTCCTTTTTTGTTATCTACGTGGAATAGCTAAAAATTATATTTTATTTAGCACGAGAAATTAATAATTTTATATATCAAATATATATATACATATATATATGTATATACTTATAGTAAAATGTATATTAAAATATATATATTAAAATTTATATTATAGATTTTTTAGATCTATTTAATTATTACATTAAGTATATAAGATATTTATTAATATCATTTTACAATGTATTAGACAAGTAAACTTCTTTATTATCGTTTCATAAATAGATAAATTTTCATGTAACGTACCCCGCATCTATATTGAGGTGTGCTATCGTTGGCAATGCTATTCCAGAGAGCAACATAATTGGAACCGTTCGGTCCAGGCCAGCTGCCCAAACAATTGTATGCGAGATCTGCTAAAACGAGATTATAATAATGTATTTCGAATTCGCCTTTATGTCACTGCTTTAATTATAACAATAAATCAACTAGCAATAATAACGATACATTGTATTTAATATACAATATGTTTAATTTACTGATAATATATATATATATATATATATATATATATATATATATATGAACAAAATTATATTTGTTTATTAAATCTAATTTATAAAATCTCTCGATTCGCTATTAATTATTTATTGATTAAATTTAAATATATATATAATATGAATTGTTTTGCTTACATACAAATATATGTTATAAAACAATATTTACTATAAATATATTTAATGTGTATATTTTTCTTTTTTAAAATATCTATGTTAAAAATTGCGAAGAAGTAAAGAAAACTTACCGTGCATTTCAAAGTTGCATCGTTTGAAGTTCAAATGTAAGATCGAACCATCCGGGCAATTACTGAATTCGGAAGAGAATGTGTTGCACTCGAATGATAACGCGGAATTATTGTTGAGGGTGTATTTGAAATGATATAAACCAGTAATAGGGCAGTATTCATTCCGAATCATCACATCGCCGATTTCTTTTGTACCTATTGAAGAAAAGAAGGAAAATTATTTATTAACTTTTATGATTTCTTATTAAAATTTTTATAGATCTATATATTTATATATATATACTACATTTATAAATTTACGGAGGACATTAAAAATTTTGGGAATTTTTTTTCAAATATAACTTAAGTTTACATTTTGATAAAATACAAAATCAGTAATATTTTTTATAAAATCACACTCGATTTGAGAGCGTACCCACGTGGTTTCAATTGTGAGTTTTATTAGAATACATTTGGACGTGATCATATAAGGTGACCGGAATTTTCATGAATTGAGACGAGATATCGAAGGATGAAATCCGCAGGTATCCTTTATTCACAAAAATCTCTTCGAAATAGCTCTCCCGGTTTTCATCGGTGTTACAATGAGATCTATAAGCAGGAAGTAACTGAAATTCCACACCACGTTTTCACCTAAAAGCTTCGGCATTTTTCACTCATTGTCAAATCACTTTTATTATTTTTTTTTCTTCGCGGTGGTATGCAAAAAGAGAAAAACCAGCGGTATCTTCAAAGTGAAAATGTACAGATTTCATGTGAAAGTGATTATTATTTAAATAATGTGTAGCATGTTTCGAATATTACGAATTTTTTTACTATTATTATTTTTTATTTTACTTTAACCGTATTTTACATGAATTTTGTATTAATTCCTAGGGAAGGATTTTAACATTGCAATATTAAAATTAAATTTTTACTGACGATATATTTGTATAAATATAAATATATAACACATTTTATTCTGAAAATATGCCAATAACTTTTTATATTATTATTATTATTATTATTTTTATCTGTAGGGTACCAATAGCTTCGTTTTAAAAATATTTTCTGTCAAAAGTTTCGAAAGAAGAACTTTAGAAAAAGATCTTATTGTTAGACGACTAAAATGATAATTCTCATATATAAATAATTCTCGACCATAACTTTTTTCTTCCTCTCTTTTTCTTTTTTTTTGCTTTTTTTTATAACTATGCAGTTCGTCGAGCAAAAAGTAAAATGTTTAGAAATTTATTTTTCAAAATGTTATTTCTTTTTACTGCGGTTGGGGGCTTTAATGATTGATTTTCTTTATCTGATTTTCGCGATTTTTATATATATGTATGGCATAACATGGAATAGAGAATGCTATATAAATGCTAATTTTTCCTTAAATTAAAAGAAAGAAAAAATATATATGAAATTGATTAAAAATCGAGTTATATTATGCTGTTTTTTATGATCTCATAAATAAAAAATAATTGAAATAATGTTGTCAAAATAAATTATGCACAATTCTTACGTATCTGTGAAAAAAAATTGATTCCGCGTTCAGTATATTTATATAAAAATTGAAATATGTCTCTCTTACAATGGATACAAGTATTCATTTCACAATACAAGTTCGTCGGACTGATAACTGAAACATTATAATAAAAAAGGACATTAAAAAGCGCGTCATAATTTCGCGAAGATGAAAAGGAATGGCAGAACACGACGACAGAGAGCATCTTCATCAAGTTAGGAATGCGTAAAAACATTTTCTCTTCCCAAATGCCAAACAACAACGGTATAATTTAGCGAACTGAAGAAACTAACAATATATATCTATATATATACACTCTTTCTTTATTCGGCAACCGATTATCGCGGCATGTAGTGTCCCTCGCTTATTTCACTGCAGGACGATTAGGACGAGAATCTTTTTGGGCCACTCCCACGCTTCCGACGACGAATACCTAGTTTCTGCACGGACGACGGTCCAGAAAAAAAGAAAACAGGAATAAAACACGACAAAGAATGGATGGGAACACGGGAGGTCGTTTCGACGAAATCTCGGCGTTTTTTCTTCCAGCATTCTTCTATACTCTAGAATACTTGGTTGAAAAGACAATCAAAAAATTAATTATCATTGTTCTCCTGTAATTTGATTTTCTTCATTAAAGAACATTTTGATGTAATTAATCTTTAAATTATAAAAATAGAGATAAACGAAATTTTATAATAAAAACAATTATTATTAGTGCCTTTTTAATTTTGATTATTTTTTGTTCGGCCTGAAAATGTTGAGACCGGTATATTTTCGCGAGCAAATTTGTCGGATGTGAACTCTTCGCACATCTACGAGATTGCGAGAAATCGGCGTTTTGGCCTTTTTATGGGCGACAAGTTCTTTTGCCGGACCACCAACCCTGATTTTCGGTTTCTGTGAAGATTTCGGTCGCTCGCGTGTAGCGACACGGATCAAAGCGTGAAACCGAGATTACAAGCGGAAATCGAGCCGACGGTCTCGATCGCGTCGCGACAGGTGTAGCCCCTTGGGAGCCGCCAGGTGAACGTGCGTGATAATGTACCGGAAGCCGAGGGATCGATGCTCACGAGTAATCTTCATTAAGCAACTAATAACGATGCACGCGAATGCGTGCACGCCTCTGTACGTGAATCTTCGCGAATCTCACGCATCCGAGGAGCGATGTATGTATTTCCTATACATTTTACTTTTTGTTATCCATCGATAATGAATCTTGATAAAATTCACATGTAGGAAAATTTGTATCTTCTTGTTAAAACGGTTCCCGTTAAAATTTAATAAATTTATATTATGATAAGATTTATCTGTTAAAATTAAAAAAAAAATGTTGATTTTTTATTTTATAAGTGGAAATGATAAAATCTAAAATTAACATATCTTAGTCATTTTTACATTAATACTCTCTATGTTAATTTCACACAAAACTTATTGTAAATTACTTGAAATTTTGCATTTCTTTTGTGTTAAAATATTATCATAGCATTCATGTCTTCATTTAACATATCCACATTATGTTGAATTAACACAACAATTTTTGTGGACCGTTCGGACATATGATAGATATCTGTTAAATTCAACACAAACTTTTCAACTGTGTTGCTATTGCATCGCGCAATTTTTTATATCCTAATTCGTCGATTCATCTCGATGCACGAAAAGTGGTAATAAAATATTTTATCACAAATTTAAGTTTTCGATCGTCAGTTTTCATTCTTAGCGCCTTCATCCCTTTCGAGATTCAATCGACATTTATCCGATCCATCCCGCATGTGAACGATTATGCAGATGTCTACATCCCAATCATCTTTAAGAGCGTTTTAATTGTCACGCGCGTGAGAAAAAATCACGGTGCGCACACGCGTGTACGCGCTCTGCACGCGACGTGCATATCGTGCATTCTTGGGGGCCCATTGTTCCCGCGTCGTTACGCAAGCTTCATCACTTCCTTTTGGCCGCTAGGGCCCGCGGCCAATTAACGCTAATTATTGAGAACTATTAATTCGCGGACGCGCGAGTACGCCGAACTTAATCCTCCCTCCCTCGGCATACGGAGGTCGCGTTGTAATTTGTTTGTTCGACAAACCGGAAGTCCGCAAATTCCTCGAGTACGCTAATACGCACATTGCGTATGTAAGAATGCTAATTAATTCGCCTCAACTGAATGTATGCGTTATTCTTTAACGCGTTATGTGGCTCGTAATATTTTTCTTCGGTAAAAAAAGCAAGTAAAAAATAAAATTAATGTAATTTATAATCCATAAATTTATATGAAAATATATATTTTTAATCAAAGTGAAATATAAAAAAATTATTTGATTAAAAAGTTTTAAAAATATAAAAGAATTTATTATATGTAATTTAGTAAAATTTCTTCATTTAATCTATATTATTTCATCTATTTTATTATTAAATATCTTTAATAGTAAATTTTCTTCTTTTTCTATATTTATTAAAAATAATATTAGCATTAAACGAAATATCGCCAAGTCTGATCTCTAACTTATTGTCAAGCATTTTATATACCTTTCTATGCGTGTTCTACATTTATTTCTGCGGCTGTTAGCGAGATAAATTTCACAATCGTCTAAGAAAAGCCGCAGTTTTTGCTCGACGGATACAAAAAAACTTGCATTAATTCGCATTAGCAATAATTTAACTTCCTTAACCGTGAGAAAAGGCAGTCATTGAGACAGATCGTTCGGTTTTACCAGCATAAAGTTATGTTCATTATCATAAGTATGTCTCATATTTAGCCTGATGTACGTCATAAGGTCGTGGTTTCTGTCTTACGAGCAAATGCGTGATTATCGAGACAAATCCGGCTTCTACTTACGGTATAAGATCGAGGTGGAGTTCAGTGTGTCACAGGAGGCCAAGGCAGCCAACTCGTCTGTATAACACCTGTCGAGAGCTTCCGAGAACACTTCGATGACGTTCCGCGACCTCCGCAACAGCCGGAAACACCTTATGCAGTCCTTATCATTATATCTGCAACAAATATCATAAGTTAATATATACAATCATAATATTAATATGCATAGTGTTGCAATAGTCACTTGCCACATCTTTTGATATTGAAATAGAAAAATTGTTCTCTTATAGACAGTGTGTTTGCTGTTATGTAAATAAAATTATATATTGTAGATTATCAGATGAAATTTTACGTCATTTTATCCAGAGTCACATAAAAATATTTAGGTATTAATAGAATTTAAGCATTAAATGATAAAAACTTATAAATAAAAATATGAATATATTTTTATATTTCTTTCATTATTTACATTTTTTATAACTGCGTGTTTACATAAGCGGTCTTAAATAATATTATGTAAAAGTTATTTAAATGAATCACCATAATTTTATCTTTCATCTAGATATATTTAAAATCATCTTGTCTAAGATGAATTTAAATATTTTCATTTTATCTTTATCTGGCTAATTTTGAAATTATCTAAGCACAAAACTGCTTGTAGAACATCGTTTATTTGCAGCTTTTTAAAATGCATATAAGCATGAAATGATTGATATATCTAAATCCTTGATTAAGATTCTGCCGCAGAATAGCTTAGAATTAACCGAAACCAAAGTTCTGTTATTTGTAATTTTTAAATATAATTTTTCAATGCCTTATTTTTAATCACTTTGAATCAGGAAAATTTCCTTTAAAATTAACTTTGAATTTAATTCTACAAAATCCAGAGACAATCATAACTAAGAGCATCTTTTCTAAATTATATGATACACTATAGTCTCATTGCCTTAGCAATCTATAATCGCAAGCGGAAACGCAATATTACTTACGGAATTTATGACGCACGAATCCTGGGGCCGAGGGGAGAAATTGGAAAATTAGTAAGGACTTGAAACACTACGGCCTGGGGAAAAACTTAACTGCGGGCTGTAAAGCATCGTAAGAAACGATATCCCGAGAGCCCCGTTAATGTCGACTATAAAATATCGAAATGACGATACCCGCGCCATAACATCATATATGTAGAATAAGAAATAATAAGAGTCTCCCTTTTTTCTCTCCCTTTCCGCTTCCTCTCAGTTTGATTAAAATCTGTATAGTCTAGCACTTGCACATCAGGATTCTGCTTTGAAAGTATTAGGCTTTCAAGTAAATGTCGACGTTGTCTTCATAAACTTATATTAAATTCAGGATCTCGTCTTCATGAGACGATTTGGCTTCTTCTCGAGGGCCAAAAAGTTTTTGCACCTTCAAAATTCTTTGATATATTAATAAACCAGAAATGTATATTTATAAAACTAAATCTATTTAGAATTGAAAATATTTTTTTCACAAAATTAAATAAAAAATGTAAAAGAATGTCGCATGGCAAATGATATCAGATCCTTAAACTGTCATCGTACATCTAATCTTATATCCAGCTTTTCTTCTATTCTCTCTCTAATATTCTATAAATTTTCTCATGAAATAAAGGTACATTGTGAGACACAAGACGACACTAATGACTGTATAATAGTGGCGCGATAGCGTCTCGATTAGAGCAGATATTAGCGCTCTCGTGACGAGCATCTCGTGAATTAACACTCGACTTACCCGACACAGGAAGTGGACAATGACAAGTGCAAAAGAAAAAAAAAGGATAAGAACAAGGATCATTCTTGTTCCTCGCGGTGCCAACGACTTGGTGTAGCAACACGCGATATCTCGAGACGAGTTAAATTAGAGACGTAAAAGAAATTTCACCGGAGAAAATGCTAATAATTAAATAAATAAAAAAAAAGATGGTTTCTTCGTTAAATTTTTATTGATCGGTTTCAAGGTACCTATGGTTAAAAAATTGTTTTAAAATAAATGAAAAAACATCGAAGGTAGGCATATATTGACTTTTGCCGCAGGTTAAAATACTAAAAGAATAAACAAATTAAGAGAGCACAAGATAATATTGGTTCGTGACACTGTAAGCATCTGAGAAAATTTATTTAGTGAAAACAAATAATTGTTGTGCACAGATGATGTGTAAGAGAAAGAAAAAGAGATACATTTTACTATCACGACCGCTATCTGGTACCTTTTCACAAACAATTATAAAAATAATAGTAGTTGCAGAGGAGTCATTTGTTCAACAGTATTTGGTGTGTACCAGAGAATCGTCGGCGGGATAAAAAGATGTTATTTAAATAATTATGAGTTATTAGGATAACCATATAGCGCGTGCAGCCGAAAGCACGCATTCGTATAATATAAAGAGAAAATTGAGAAATATTATTTGGCTTTGTATACATAAATTAATATAATCACCTTTCTTTTTAATTGTATAATAAGGAGACTTGATATTTAGATTCCAAAATATTCTCTCTCAATTGTATTTTCTCTAATTTCTCATAGAAAAATACTTGTAGAAGTTTCATTCCTTATACACGGATATATAAAATCGTATTTACATATTAACATAGTAATCATAAATATTGTATCTCGATCGATTTTCCGAGTACAGCGAACAGCGAGCATAGAATGGCGCAATGGGACACCAAGATGTGTTAATCACAATGCGGTACCTTCGACAGACGTAAATGTACACGTGTTTACGACGTCAACGCATACCAGCGCTTATAATTGTAACTCCGAGGCAATACCTATTATACGTCGATATTATGCAACTTGCGGGAATGAGCGTGTGGGCCCGCGGTCGCATGGTCACCTCGATCTCTCTCTCTCTCTCTTTCTCTCTATGCCTTATATAGGATCTCTAGACTCGCCCAGGAAAGCGATTTTTAAGAGAGCAACGTGCGCGCGTGTGCTTGGAAACCCTCCGGATATATTCGCCAACTGGAGAATGTTACATGATAGGTTTTGTCCATACCAACGACTATGCGAGTGCACGACCAGCATTCTTGTCTGAATTCGGAGTATTCGCCGTGCGATACCTGTCTTGACGGCGTCATTTCACAAGTTTCTTATTTCCAGTACAGCTGCACAAGTGCCTTCATAAATTTCAGTACTGACCGTATTTCTATGAAGCTTTTTTCTGACCAATTAATTTCTCGAAATATAAGAAAATCAAATTAGAAAATAAAAATGCAAATGCTTTGCTTTTCTATAGCTTTAGCAAATATCTTACATACTTATGTACAGATATAATTTTCTCTTAAAATTAATGTGTACCACAATAATATATAAAAATATTTTTGATTAATTTTACTATGTACATATTAATATATATAAATATATTTTTTTATTGTGATAAATATTAATCTGGAAAAAAATCTCATAAAATTCTTTGAATACCATATTATCCCACAATTATCATAATTTTTAAGGTAAATTCTAAGAGAAAATTCTCTCCTGTACAGTTGCTTTCTCTATGTGTTAAACAATGTGTTTAAAGTTCATTCTTGATAGAAAAAAATTTAATTTTTGTTGAATTAATTTTTTTATCGACTTTATTGCTTTTGCAATTAAAATATTGTTTATTATTTATAATGATATTCGTTCTGCTGCCTAGAATAATTAGATCTATAGTTTATTATCAGGATAATAGACTATATTTAGATTGCGCTATAAATAGTCTACGGAATTAATTGACGCGTTATCGTAAGTCTTTTTTATTTCGTGTGATCGATGTAGCAAAGTTCGTATAAACTGAAATGCAATTTACATCGCACGCGAAACGAAATGTCAAAAACTACACTGCTTCAAACTTGTGAAATGAGTTTGAAACACGAAAGTGGAGGATACGATGCACACAATATCCAGGTCAATAACGTCCCTTCGACACGTTTAATACGGAACCATTCGCATTTTACAAATGCTTCAGCTATTTTATTTTGTTTTTCATCCTACCTGTCAACCTGATTACATACGAATGGAGTTGCGTTCGCTTTTTGTCGTGGGACTGTCATCATCATCATCATCATCATCATCGTCATCCGACTGTGGTGTCGTATCCCACTGACCCGAAATGTAAATTGCGCTCGAATCAAATTTGCATACCTGTACACGCACCTATGGTAAGGCTGCGTCTCACATGAGGAACAAATTCTCTAATTTCGCATAAAGAAATTTATTTAACATTCTCCTGTAATAATTGTATCATAAATTAGCATTCCTTGTAGACTTCATTTCTCACGAGATTTTATTAATGATTGATTCAACCGATTGTCAACGGAGTCGGAATCCGGACATCTCTACGCCTCACAATTAGAGTGACAAATGAGCCGTGTGTGGAGCCGGCTTAAGAAATATGCGACACGTTATTGTTCCCGACACAGTGATCCCGGAGGAGAGCTAGCTCGTCAACGCGAGCTTAGAGAACACGGAGGCGGGATACATGAAAACTGGGGAAGAGACGCTCGTACCATCTTCGGCTAGTCACTCCTCCGTCTCTTCACGGAGATTAATGATAGAAGATGGTATGCAACAGGCCCTCTGTTCTATCCGATCGCTGGAGGTGGGGCCCGTTTCACGAGCGCGAGCTTGCAGCATCCTCGGGGACGATGTATTCTCTTCCGATGCCGTTTTTCAACGGCTTTAGAGCGATTGTTGTGCCATGAAACGCATAAGCGCGCCTTGTACCGGACGGTTCACGAGCGAACGTCAAATTGAAATAATATCGTAATGATCGGCAAGACAATATTTTTGGAAGAGCTCGGAAAAATTAAATTTTTATAAGTAGTTGGCACTTTTTTGTCAATCAAATAAAAACTGATATACAAACATTTTATTTAAATCCATGACTGCAGACTTTCCTTTTTTCAACACAATTTTTATTTTCTCAATAACTGCATGCAGTAAAAAATGACAGCTGATTAGTTTCAGCAATTTTCTGTGGAATACCCTGTAGAAATAAATGTGAGAACAGGATCGGAGATAACGATTGTCTTGTCGTAGTTTCTTTGCAAAGACACGCGGAGAATTTAAAATTACTGAAAAAATAAAATATAACTTTAATGTTCTATTTTTAATAATTATATCATGTTTTATAATCTCGCGTGCATTTCGAATATTATTACGTTTGTGGTCGCGTAAGCTGGATGCGTGCGACCGCATTATAATCCTTACGCGAACGAACCAACCGTATTTCGCCGGGGATCCTATTGGAGAAATTTTCGCGGCAAACGCGCGGTTATTGCGATTATCCTCCTGTGTGAGAACATTGTCGACAACCGCGTACGTGGAAAGGCAATTTACGCGAATTCGCGTACAACTTTTCGCAGGGTATTGCTAGTCGCGCCCCAGCAAATTATTATTACAAGCTGCGATTATCTCTTATAATAGCCGCGACCTTGCCGGTAGGACACTATCTTCGCGACAGTGACGCATGAACATGTCACTGTCGTTTAAATAACGTGTGACCAACGTTTCATAAAATTCATCATCGTGGGACACATCGATTAAACGGAACGTTGCGACGGAAGGCAAAAAATGCACGGCAATTAAGCCGCGATCAAATCTCAAGCAATTAACCAGTTGCCTCGAGTGATACATATGAATAGTGATCGCAGTCATTTACATACTCAAGTATATCTCAAGTATATCAAGTATATCTATTAAGTTTATCTATCCGTATATGATAAATCCTTCAGGGAGACTTATGCAATGCATCATTATTATGATAAGCTAGTCGGCTACTCAATAACGAGAAATAAAAAAAATTGAATTTACGATAATTATCAGCCGAATCAAAAAATACGAGTATTTGATACGATATCAAATACGAGTATTTAAAAATGAAATTTATTATATCTTTGTGTTCTTATGTTTCGATCTATAAAGTTCGTTGTCATAAAACGGAACATATAATATCACGTTGCAGACCTGAACAAGATCGTAAATGCGACGGTGACGATAATAAAGACAGCCAAAGATATGATTTCTCGGAATATTCATAGCGTGGTAGCTCGTTAACGATTCAACGTGAATCGCGAAGTATACGATCGTGTCCAGAGAAGAAGAAGAAGAAGAAGAGAAAGGGGTGGGCTCTCACGTGTATGCCAATTTATGCATACTTGTGCGGACAACACCCACATGGCTGCGTGAGCGTTCAGATGCATCGAAGAACTATCGATTGGCGCGACGAGGTTCTCGAACTTTGGATCTCTATGAGATGCGACATTGAAATTCTCCGTGAATCTTTTAATGGCCGAATCATTTTTATTCTATTTTCTCATTTCGTTTTTCTAAAAAATATATATAAATAAAGATCTATATATGTATATAGTTTGATCTTATATATATAAGATTAAACATCTATGAATAAAAGAAATACATAAAAAATGTAAACGTCCAGACTTTCTAATAAATAGTAGCCGTGGTTTTATAAATAGTATCTAATACTTAATTGTCTCCCTTTCCTCCGTGTAACCCTTGATAATAAATTTCTTCCCTCTTTTTTTCTTTCTCTTTATTCCTCTTTTTTCAAGAAGGATAGTCTTGAAACAATATGGATTTAGGGCGCGGAGAGGTCTTGATGTTTCATCATTTCTTTTTTATTTTACGGTTTTCGTCCTCTTTCTAGAATTAGCTCGGGTTCGCAATACGCGAGTGTCTGGAAAGCCGGCTATTTTTGATTCAGACGAGTTGCAGACGTCGTGGTATCCCGAGAGACATTGGCGAGCTAATTTAACCTTAACCCCTTCACACCCTTTAAATTTTCCGCGACGGCAATATCCCTTCGTCGTCTTCGAATTTTATTTTTTTTGATAAAAAAAGCTCTTTCGAGCGCGAATAATCCGCCCACATTCTCCCGTCTAGACAGACTTGCAGTGACTTACATATATAGAAAGCGATATAGAAAGTGACTTATATAGACTTATATAGCATTTCTTCTCGAATTTTCTTATAAATATTTCAACGAATTTCGAATCAGTGAAAGTTTAATCAAATAATTCTCAATTTACAGTATTATATATATTTTCTTCATTAAATTTTTTACATTAAAATCCTAAAATAAAATTCATTAGAGAAAAAGATTAACATTTTGTAATATATTCGTCAAATTGCCAACTCAAAATAATTTTGAAAATATACACGAAACCACATGCAAATTATATAACTTTGAAGTGTATATAAAGTGCATTATAATTTATTGTAATTATTTATTTCTAATAATTTATTTTCAGAGCATTTCAAATATTGCTAAGAAAACGAGAAGTCTGAATTTTTTGTCATCGTGTTAGGAACGGATTCATCATGGATTCATCCTTTCAACACTGTTTTGCTGTATCCCATTTAACGGCATTTACACATGTACGACAAGTTGCAGATATCCTAGCTACAAATGCATCGTTCTGTAAATATACCGTTACTTTTAAATCGACTATTCCATCATTCTTTGAACGCATCGATCAAAACTCCGTTTTTTCTTGTTTTATCAATAAGTCAGAACTTTGATGTTTTATGGTACCGCGCTTTCAAGATTTTCTTTTATGTGTCTGTAAACTTTCGCGACGATCGTTCGCGGCTTTTAAGACTTTAACATTTTTAGTTTAAAGATGCGCGAGATTGATAAAGATGAAAAAATATAGTCATGTACTGCTTGATAATTCAATTACACAGAAAGTTTAATAATGTATAAAAATGTATAAGAATAAAGTTACTGAGATAATTTAATGATGATAAGTAAATTAAACTAATAATTGCGTGCATGATGAGATCATTACTCAATTTAATTTGGGAAGTCGCCTTTAATTTTTCACATATTAAATTAATTTCGCATGTTAATTAGCTCTTTATCAAAGAAAGTGTATCGAATGATAAATGTTATATCCTTGCTACATTAATTTATTGATCCATTGATTTAACGATAATTCCTATCGAGTCGCTTGTATATAGACATGACTTTTCTAATCGTTAACTGCATAAACCGCTAACTGGAATCTCAACACTTTCTTCGATGTAGGAAATGTTTGTAATTTGTCGAGTTAACTGACCTGTCCCTTAACAGCACGTTATCGCCGACTCTCTTGTAGCAGTAGCCCCATGCCGGTATCGCGTTGAAGGTGATGTTAATGACAGAATACTGAATAGGCTCGTTCGCCATGCTTCCGACGCCCTTTCCGTTGTCCTGTGTCACGAATTCGCCCTGGAATTCCGCAGGAAAATAACAGCCCACCATGACTTGGATATCGTAATCTTGAATAGTCTCGCTCATAATTACGGTGCCATCTGAAATAAAAAGGACAAATCTCTTTATTAGTTCAGAGCTCTTTGGTAAATTGCTAAAATGTCGAATTTTGCGAGATGTAAATTTTATCGACATAATTAAGTGCTAAATTTGAGAATTTGTTTGTAAAATCCAATTTCATTAAAAAATAAATACTTTAATAAAAATAATTTTAAATAATTAATTTGTGAAAAATAAATCTTAAGCATAATTTAATCTCTAAGTAATTTTGTCATTTCTAATCATACAAAATATAAAGTATCAGAAATCAAATATATTTTTTATTTTAAAATTAAGTTATAAAGATAATATCACACACACAATACAGCATTTACGCAGATATATCATAATACTGAGATTGTGCAGAATTATGGCATTCAGAATGGTAACTAAATTCATGCTCAGACACTCACATGTTCTGCATTCAGCAGCCCATGAAAGGTCATTAACGTTACCACTAAGTGGTCCCGAGAGACAGGTGCGACGATGACAGGTGGGATTATCAGCGAAATCGCGACGAGTAATATTATGCTTTCTTCCTTCTTTCTACATTATATATATCTTACATATCTATAAGATATGAAAGTTATACTTGGCACGATTAATGTACAAAGAAACACAAGATTATTATAACGCATAATTTTTATTATTTCTTCTATATAATAATAAATCTGCAAATGTTGGAAATATTTTTATATACTTCCTTTGTAGAAGGATCCATTTAAAAATGTTCGATCAAAGCTGATTTTAATAAAATATAATAAAAAATATAATAAAAATTTCAGGAAAATTAATTTTTCTTAACTTAATTTCATTGATTTCAATAAGTATCTACTTTGCAATGGAAATTCTACCCATCTGTGTCTGAAGAACGTTCGTGGGAGACTAGATTCTTTTTTTTACAGTGCGTTGATCTGAAAACCTGCACGTTGTAGTTGGAAGTCGAGCAAAAATCAGTGCGGTTTTCCGGCGATCTTTTTTCGATCATGTTTCTCTCTTTCTCGTTACAATCAATATTCACGCAAAAAGCGTCATCGTAAATTACTTCACGCATGAGTCGCGCCATAATAAAAGCCAAATCACGATCAAAGCTCTCGCAATCCGCGCGTCCATCGTTATTAATGAGAAACATTGTGCGTATATCCATATCTTTTTTTATACTGGAAATATCTATCCTTCCTCGTCTAATGGATTGTGCAACATTGTAATAGGTAGCGATTCGAAACATCGCAAAAGGTCTGTAGCATACGCGGGATACATATGTATATGAATTTAAAAAACGCATCTTCTCAGTTATTATCCTGCAAACTATAATTAGCTCTCTCGTGGGCTGAACGACAGCGAGAGATATCTCCTGCTCGAAGAAATAAAATCGAATGCATGAAAGAAAGATCGCACTTGTAAAAACTGTTGGAGCGTAATCACAAACGCGTAATCATAGTGGCAGTGTTTGTCAGAACATGAAGTAGGTAAGGAAAATAGGAAGAGTCGTTGATTAAATGATTAAATGTTAGTTGATAGTTTGGTTGATAGATAGACAGAATGAGTTTCAATTATGCACAAGTAGATCGACATTTCTTATTTCTTATTCAGTTTAAATGGAGAGGTTAATAAAATTTTTCAATAATAAAATTTTATAATTTAAAATATTTGCATAAAGTTCTTAAAGGATTAATTGGACAAATAATCATATATAATTATATGCAGCATTATATGCAAATCTTTGGATTCTAAATTATTGTTGCAGTAAAATAAGAAAATCAAAGGCGGTATCCTTTAATTTTTTCCACGAGCGTATAGATTCCGGATGTTATTAATTAACCGATGGATAATTAAAGTCGGCATAGCGGCACGAAAGCCTCGGCGCGATATGTATATGCCGTATAGCGAAAAAAAATAAAGGATATAGAGAGAATGAATGAGAAAAGACGATCATTGACTTACGTCCATCTTATTAAGGGCTACAAACGCGACGGAAGTGGGATCAAGTTTTTCCCACAAACCTTCCCTATAGTAGCACTTACGTGCAGCATACCTTTGTACACACGTATCTTCCGACAATCTGTGCGAATAACACGCTCTCACCGCAACGATCAAGCAGCGATTCAGCGCTCGTCTCGATCCTTTCGCTGTTTTTCTCGTATTTTTGACGAAGGAAATTGCTAAAGTTTAAATCTCTCTTATCAAATAATTTCTCAATATTCCTAGATTTTAAATTTATAAATTTGGCTACATAATTAGATCAAATGAATTATATTTCAAAGAATTTTCAAAATTATAGAGAATTGGACCAGCGATTCAACACTCGTCTCGATCCTTTCCGTTTAGATATGTCGTATTTTTGACGAAAGAAATCGCTAAAGTTTAAATCTCTCTTACAAAATAATTTCTGGATTTTAAATTTATAAATTTCGCTACATAAATCAAATTAATTATATTTCAAAGATCTTTTTCAAAATTAAAGAACTGGACCAGCGAAAAATAGAGAGAGAGAGAGAGTCAACGTTTGAAAAATGATATCATGGTAGGTAAACTCGATAAATAAAACTTTTTGCTAAGGAATCGTCTGCCATAAAATCTCTTCCGTTCGTCAGAATCTTTAGCCGCGGTAGTGCAATACGTAACATTAATTTATCTCGAAGCGTAATTTCCGCTCTAATGGACGACCATCAATATGACAGAGAGGCGCGAGAAAATCGGCGCGGTGTAATCTCGATCGTATTCAATGTCTTCGCATGTTCGAGGGACGTAATCCCCCAGGCGCAGGCCGCGTCCCATGCGCGTGCAAGTGCAGTTTCGTTCTTTAGGGATACGCATTCCTCGCGCGCAACCGCCCATGGGTGTCGGGGCCCGATGCGTCGCAATTACTCGGACGACTTTTTGGTTCCGGTAGGAGGCGTTTCTCTCATTCTTTCTCACGTGCGTCTGCGTCCGCGCTCCATCTTATCGCACTCTTTCATCTGCATAAAGGACGATCAACTGCCCCTCTTTACGTGACCTTCATTCCCTACTTCGTCCTCTCGCAATCTCTCTCTCTCTCTCTCTTATTCCTTCTCTTCGCTCCTTTAAAACTCCTCGCCATCAGTCGAGCCTCTTTTACTTGTTCAGGATCAGGTGTGCGCTTATAGCCATTTGTCGGGATTATCGATGAATAGTTGGTAATCGATATTCCACTGCTCTCTTTATGGCTCTTTAATTTTATCTAAGAATCATCGCATTATAATTAGAGTGTCATGCATCGCTGTCGTATCTTCCACTTAAGGCGCGCTCGTGAGAGGCATACTTGAAGACGCTTGAAGGTGCTGGGAAAAAATTATTACACTGTATCTGCATAATTATGGGTAATGGAAATCTAATTTTTCATCACGATAGATGTGATATTGATAGATAATTAATTAGATACTGAAGATAACTAACATTTGCTTCGGAAGATCGTTTAAGTTGCGAGGCAAGATTAAAATAATGGCCTTGCAAATAAAAAAGAATCTTTTCAATTTAATTATAAATCATGACTTTTAAAAATACTTTGAGAAATTTCGGACTTGTTTAGAAGATTTTCTTATTGTTAAGATTCTTTCTAGGATGATACGGTGAAAGTTAAGTCTATTAGCAATTTCATTGACAATTTGGAAAATATCTTAATTATAAAATTGATTCGATTATGAAGTATAGATAAACTACATTTGTTCTCTTTCTCTTTTTTCTCTCTCCCTCTCTTTCGTCAAGTCCATTCACTTTTTTCCATTCGCGTGCCCTTCATCTCTCCGCCATGATTACTCGAGATTTCCTTTTCAACCTCTTCTTCGCCACTGCGCGTTCCTTCGCTGGATGATTTAAGTTCCATCTCGTGAAGAGATACCAGGTGTTCGCGTATAGGAGGGTCCTTAATCCATACCTCCTGGTGAATTCTTAATGAATGCAACCGGCTCGATATGCCGAATGATCGCTCTGAAAATTAGAGGCTTGCGTCTAGAGAGAGAGAGAAAGAGAGAGAATACGGAACGCAACCACGCATTATTTTAAGAAGGGGCTTGCCTCCGTTGTATCTCTACCTTTATATCAACGATTCTTGGATCAAAAGATAAAACGACACGACATTCTTTTAAAAATTAATTATTTCTTTCCTATATGAATAATCATAAATGTATTAACTATGAAGAAGAAACAATTTGTGTGATCTCATTTATTATATATAGTATTATAATAAATTATCACGAATATATATAAATAATTATGCAAAAAATCTGTATCGTAAGACAATGCTATTTGATGTACGTTGTCAATAAAATATGTTTATTCAAGAGGGTTAAAGATCAACGTGATTATGAAATAAAGGGATTATTGGGAAATCATCGATTACTTTTCCATGTTAAGAAATCGGTGAATCGCGATCATCAAAATTGACTCCGCGCGCAGAGAAGATAGACGCAGTGATTTCGCGATCATTCATCATAAATGGTAGGATAAACCGAAGATCGGACGATCTTAAACCGTGTAATGGAAATCGGCGAGGCCAAGACCGGGATCGGTTATAAAATATCAGCGATCGTTGAATTTCACCTTTTGCGCGCGAATCAGTGGTACCGTTTCCTCGGCGTTTAACTCGACAACTCCAAGCTCGATCCTATCCCGAGCTTCAAGATCTACGTCTCTCGACTCGGAGAGAGAAAGAAAGAAAGAGAGAGAGAGAACGGTCTTCAAATTACGGCCGTAATATCTGCCAGATGATCGCTGGCGCTTTCCATTAGATCGGGAGGTCAGACTTCAAAACCGTGCGAAAGGTGTGGCCCGGCATATCGAGTGCACCGCTGCGGCTAATGCTGTTTAATAACGGCTCGAGAGACACGAGTTTGTGTATGTGTGCATGTCAGGGCGCTATCACAATTTCACAATGATTTATCGTAGTTGGGGTCTATCATTTCAAAAGCGTGTGCTGATCGAAATGCTCGGAGCAATAATACGCCAAGATGAGAGAAAGTAGTAACAAAACAGGATTGAATTT